CTCCAGTGGCCTGTGTGAGTAAATCCGTCTGATTGGAGTGAACAGAACTGGGGCAGATTGGCCAGACTGAAGCTTTAGCACACAGAGATCGGACTGTCCCAAACCTCACACGCAAGGGTTGGTTTTAAATATGTTTTATTCTGAAATGTTTGATGTTTTTTCAGCAGAGCTTGTAGATCAGTGGTTTGTTTATTACCCAAATTGTGTCGTTGAAATAAATTTCCTGACTGATACAACTAGTCTCAGCAGGGACGTTTGAAATGTTTATTAAATCTCCATTTCATTTACGTTATATTGTGAATTTCTACTTATGTCATCGCAAAGACTAATGGATGTTCCTCCTGCCCAATAACAGTCTGCTTGCCAATAACATGTTTAGCCAGTTCAAAGTAATTTTACTTTTCTATATTCCTGCAGATGATCAGGACCTTATTGGCTGGCTTTGATTTTCACATTAACATATTTAGGAGCTCTGCAGCTGTTTCAGAATTATTATAGGTGCCATCCATCCATCCATCCATCCATCCATCCATCCATCCATCCATCCATCCATCCATCCATCCATCCATCCATCCATCCATCCATCCATCCATCCATCCGGACCGCGGTCCAGATCCAGACCCACCTCCTGGCTAATCCAGACCCAACCTGATTTAAAACATTTATAAATTACCGCATGTTGTCCCACGGCAGTGTCTAATTTCACTTGCGCCTCCTCTCCTGTTAATACGGTAAAGCCCTGGGGAGCGTCCGGCTCCAGGCTGCACGTGATCCAAATGAGCCAATGAGCTGTCAGTCTGGGTTGCTGCTGCTGCTACTTTTAGACACAGCAGGCAAACCTGTGGCAAGCCGGGCGATGGGAAAGAAGGAGAAGACCATGAGAAAAAGAGAGCAGAGAAAGTGTGGACTGCTGGAAGAACTGCGGTGAACTGGTGAAAGAAAAGTGAAATGGCGTGCTCAAAGATGACCCTGCACATTTAGAGGATGTTTGGCTCAACCTGCTGCTGTGAAGCAGGATTCTCCACCATGAACAGAATCAACAATAAATCTGGATCCAGGCTCAAAATGAGCTCCTTGATATGTGCTTGAGAATGGCTTAGTCTCCGGTTAAACCCAGGTTTAAAGCCTTGCAGGGCAGCCTAAAGCCCACTGCCAACATTAAGACAGAAAAAAAAACACAATCCACTGGACTTTGTTTCCAAGTTTGAAGACGTTTCTCTTCCATCCAGGAAGCTTTTTCACTTCTAAATGTCAGAAATAGCGTTTAGTTCCAGGTTTTATCCAGCAGCCCAACAAAGCCTGGTTTTAGTTTAGAAAACATGCAAATAGAAACAGACTGTATAAAAAAGAAAGAAAGAAAATAACAAACGCTCAGTTCAGGTGTTTTATAAAAAAAATGGAGATCAGGAAATTGTCTTTAAACCAAACTGAACAATTTTTTTTCTCTACATTTTAGATTTTAAAATGGAAACATTTTCTTTCTTTTTTTAATTAAAAAAATAATGTATAACAGGGATGCATAAACACCTCATATTATTTCAGTGTTCAATTCTGTTTAAAGTAACAGATTATAATTAAAAATGTCTCTGGATCTTTACTGGTTGATGATTTTCTTTAATCGAACCCCCCTGATTTTTTATTGGTTTCCCCCGCACTATAGTTTGTTAATCATTTGAAAGGTACAGTTTACATAGAACATTATTAAGATACTTTTAATAAAACTTTTGTTCAGAATAATGTTAAGGTATTAATAAGATAAAAACATTGCAGCTCATAGTCTATTTGTTGTCCTGAAGGATGACATTCACTCTCTGAGCAGTTTAACAGATAGCTCACGCTTTTATGGTGGTGAAACAAAAAAGAATACGTCCAACTTGCTTTAGCAAAAAAACCTCTGTGCAGTGTATTCTACGACTCAATGCAACATGACATAAGAGATCCATTCCAGACGCTTGCATGACCAGAGAAGATCAAAGGCATGACCAGAGCATCTGCATTATAGGAGACTAGATTGTGAAAATGTAGAAACAAGTGAATTTGAGAGAGCTTAACCCTTCACCACAGTGACAGAAGTTAATGAAAGTCACTCCCTATTTTTTAGTCCTGAACAATAACAGCGCTTAAAGTCCCAATGAGGTTTTTAACAGCCAAATGGCATTGAATTAGTTACCATGTCCCAGTGAGTGAGTAATATTTGGAAGTTTTTATAATGTGCTCTTTTGAAACCAGGGCAACCGTACTTTATTAACCATGTTTGAAATGAACATCCTCAAAGGGATACTTAACTCTGATCATGTTGTTTTTAAAAAGCCGCCTTGTTACTTTTCGAAGTCCAAAGAGATCATATACCTTGAAACAAAACGATATTTCAAGGTTAATTCAACCCCTTTGTTTCTGGTCAAACTTAATTAAATCCAGTTTAACCAGACACTTAATTAAAGTATGAAATATATCGTTAGTATAATTTGAACTGCACCGTGAAGGTCAGATTGTCAGATTGATTCAAAGTTTTCTATCTAAGGAAAACCAGCTGATTGCATCGACTCATTGACTCTTCAGCAATCCCTCACACTAAGCATGCTTGTAGCGACAGTGGAGAGGAAAAACTCGCTTTGAACAGGAAGAAACCTCCAGCAGAACCAGGCTCAGTGTGAGCGGCCATCTGCTGAGGCCCACTGGGGTTCAAGGAGACAGAAGCAGACATAGAAAAAGAAGCATAGATACAAAAGGCAACTGTCAACCAGCTCCACAGGCGGCCCCGTCCAGGAAACACACAGCCAGGCAGACGAGCTCCGAGCCAGCTCCCATGTCAGAGGATGAAGAGAGCACATCCATTTAGTCACAGTCAGAGAAACAGGACTACACTGGAAAACAGGCCAAGCTCCAACATCTAGAAACAAAGGTGTTGATGGCAGCAGCACAGCTGATATTTCTCTCAAGGATGGAGTCACAGCCAAACAGGAACAGACCAGATGAAGCTACTATGAGAAAAAGCAGAGAGAGCAGAACGTTAGAGATTGAACTAACAGATTCTGCAGAGTGGGAGAATAGAGATAGAATGAAGCAGAATGATGAAAAAGGGGTCCCTATGTCCTCCAGCAGTCTAAGCCTATAGCAGCAGAACTATAGAGATAGCTCAGGAAATTGGAAATTGCAACAAAGATGCATGATAAATAATAATGAAACAATTATAAAGTAATAAAAACACATGGATAATATCATGGCCAGTTTTAAGGTTGGGTCAAAATAGAAGTAAATATCCTAATTATAAGAAAAAAAAAATTTGCATATATGATACATTAATAGATTTTTTATATTTATTTCAGTATTGTTCAGTCCACCTAAATAGATTAGATTAGATGAGCTTTAATGATCTCACAGCAGAGAAATTCACTCGTCACATATTGGCATAGTAATTAAAGAAGGTGCAAACAAGGAGGAAAAAGCTGCATTAAGAATAAACAATATATATATACAGTATATCAAGATAAATAAGGATTAAGGTGCAAGTGTACATGTATCGCACACAATGAAAAACAAAATAAAAAAAAGAAATAAAAAAATACAAGGGAGTAGCACAGAGATTTGAGGTGTCATATGTACAATCCGGGTGGATTATATACAGGTGGATTTACTTTGACATTAAAGTGTAGTAGGTAAGGAGCAACGGTGGTATGACTATTATATTCACATATATAATAGTCATACCACTACCTCACCATTGCAAATTCAGCACTCATCTGGGAAAAAAGGTGCTCTATTCAGATGAAACCAGAGTCAAAGTTTCGGCCTACATATTAAACTATTTAGAGTAAAAACTAACTCTGCATATCACTGCATAGTGCCGTCAGCATTATCATTATTCAGAACATGGAGGGTAACTCGTCAGACTCAGTGGAAAGGTGAATGAAGATAAATTAAATTGAAACCCTAAAAAACTCTGGATGGGGGGGGGGGGTCATTTTCCTATAGAAATATATGCAAATATAACAGGCCTATAAGAGGAAAACAATAATTCTTCCTCTCAGTAAAAATATGTACTTATGGTAAAATCTAGAAACCAGAATCCGGGAATGTTTGAATTCTTGATGTTGAACTTTACACCTGTAATCTCTATTTATGGCCCATTCTGCTCGCTGTGTGTTTAATACCACCAACTAATCCAGGAGAGAGGATGGTGGGTTCAGCTCCAGGGGAAGGGGGAAGTTCCCTTGACTGCCTCCTGGGTTGTGTAAAGCATCAATTCATGTCACGAGTGACACAGAGCAGGCCCACCTGAGAGTATGCAAATCAGCCACATGTATCTGTGCATGAGACCTCTGACCAGGGGACAATCTAAAGGTGCCTTTGTCCTGATTCTAAGTAGACTAAAAAGCTTAGACAACAACTGAATCTGTTTTAAGTAATTAGATTTTTCTGGTTCATTGCTTCTTCAGTTCAGTTCTGACTGCTGAAACCGCTGAAACCCTTTCTGCTAATTACATTAATCTCCTTATTAAAGGGTGATAAAGAGAAGGAAACAGTCCGATTATGTACATGTGAAAAATAGTGCAGAGGAGCTTAAAGAGCAGTAGAGGAGATTTTATTTCAAAGAGGGGGCTGTTTAAAATAAAGTCAGGTGGGCAACAATTAAATCTTCTTATGACCTTTTCTTTGGGGGGTTAACAAAAAAAAATGTAAATCCTTTTGCAGAAATAAGCAGCTGAACTCAGAATATTTTACTGTTTAATATGTTTTAATTCAACTTGAGATATAAATGAGTTATTTTTAATAATTTTATTGCAAAGTGTAAGGCTATTAAATCTTATCCTCTTGGTAAAATGTAAATTCATGATTGAACTTTAAAGGGGTTTCAGGCCTTTCGATGGAAAAAAAACAACTTTTTTTTCTTTTTTTTGCCCCAATGACGTGGAAGGCGCTGCTATTTTTCCATTTGCTGCCGTGGGGCAGATTATTGCCCCCACCCGCGTCTCTGTGTGTTTAAATAGCAAAGTCCGCAGCTTCTCGGGGTTGAAGGACCCCCCCTTCAGAAGGAGGCGTATGCTGATTTAGCTGCTTAGTTCTAGATAATAATAAAAAAGGCCTTTATAAACTGGAGCACCTTAACATGTACTCAAATAAGGTGGAAGGGCCACGCAGAGGAAGATCGTTTGACTCCATGAACATTGGCTTCGACGAAAAACTGTTCAACAATGAGGTAAGAACCAAGAAAGAAAATATATTAAAACAAAAGTGCTTCAAAATGTATTCTTGAACTTTCTTTTAAATGGTTTATCACAGTGGAGCAAAGTTTGGACTTTAGGGGACGATTCTTGTATCATCATAAATTTCAATTTTCCCCTTTAGCGCAAAAATGATCATATTAGAAATATGAGGCTATTGACATGAAGCATCTGAGGTCTGCACGTGGGAAAGACACGCATCACTTGAGGAAATGAGGAAAAGTCTCATGTGCGCGTGCAGTGTTTGAAACATTCAAAAAGTTCTAGAATAAACAGATTAATGCTTTAAAAAAAAATCATCATAGCAAACTTTAATGCATGCAGAAATTAACAAACGGTTTATAGAAAATCGCTCATTTAAAGTAAAAAATGTGTGAATTAAATAAACACCAAGTAGAACTGAAGGCTGAAAACGTCCTAATTTCCAACCGGGTGATTAAAGAAGCGTTTGATGAGCTTTCCAGAGGAAGGGAGCTAATAATAGTCTTCCCCGCTCTTTAAAGGAGATTGCTGTAAGGCGATTCTTTGAGACAGAGACAAGTTCATCCTCGTTAAACCGAGACGCAAAGTGTTGACCCCTGTCCAGCGTCCTGATCCAGTCTCCCACGCACTAATGATTTGTGGGACAATACGGACCAGGGTTCACGGAAAACAGCTCCGCCACGCCGCCTGCGCCATGTACGACGCAAGAAATATGGTAGGAATGAATAAATCAGTGAGCTCGTTTTTATATTTTCTATGCCGCCTGTGATCCTAAGAAATGAAAATCTTTTTTGCAAGTATTTTTTCCGCTTATTAAACTGTGTTTTTAAAAACTAAAATCCATTATAAATGCCACTGTCAATGAGAAACCGATTAGTTTTGCTTTGCAGTCTTGGAAAAGTCTGACAGGATTATGTGAATTTTCCAATGGCGTCTGCAACCACGCGTCTACGTCACAGCGCTGTCCGAGGTGCTGAAACGGACGGCGCCGCTCAGTTCGGTCTAAATTACTTCGCTTACTTCTTTATAAACATCTGAAAACAACATATTATTGTTTTAAACGATGTTCCAAAGAAGAACTTCAGCTGCGCCTGTCTTTGACTCTTCCTTTTACGCACACGAGACAAGATGTTCGAAGGATTCTTTCGGATCGCTCGATGCTCTTAAGTGATTAGAAGTTATGCACTCGCGTCATTACGCGGGCTAAGCTCCGGTACAGGCGTTATGCTGGTGAAGGTTCCCTGTCTTCTTGGTCATAGTCATTCAACAAAAAAAAAAAAAAAACTAAAAGCAATCCACTGGAGCTGGTTTGAAGTTTGAAGACAAAACCTGGAACTCAACGCTATTTCTGACATTTTTAGTTAAAAAAGCTTCCTGGATGGGAAGAGAAACGTCTTTAAACTTGGAAACAAAGTCCAGTGGATTGTTTTAAATTGTTTTGAAAGTAATGGCGTTATGTGCGTTTATTATGTGAACACAGCACAGATTTAAAGGGTAACCGATAATTTCTTTCCATCCACAGATAAACAAGTCAACTTTCACTAAAATAGAAGAAAACACAGAAAAGAAGAATTCATCAGAGAAAGGTAGAGCGACCATCATCTTCTCCCTCAAAAATGAAGTGGGAGGACTTGTGAAGGCTCTCAAACTCTTCCAAGTATGTACCATCACTTCAAAAATTATCCAATAATGCATACGTTTTTTAATTAATATGTGTTTTATACATAAGTTGATTTGCGTTGTTAATGCAAAGAGAATTAGCTTAAAATTTGCCCTTTTATTGTTTTTCTTGTAGGAAAACCATGTCAACCTCATACACATTGAGTCCAGAAAATCCAAAAGGCGCAACTCTGAGTTTGAAATTTTTGTGGACTGCGACAGCAACCACGAACAACTGAACGAAATTATCCATCTGCTTCGGAAGCATGTGAATGTGGTGGATATGGACCCTCCAGATAACTCATGTCTGCTCGAAGAAGGTAAGGACAGCAGAAAAAGGTCAAAACGTAAAACATAAAACACATAAATATATATTTAATGCACTTTAGAAATACATTTTCCTACATTTATCCCCCTTCTTAACAGACATGTATGATGTACCCTGGTTCCCAAAGAAAATTTCCGACTTGGACAAATGTGCTAACCGTGTTCTGATGTATGGATCTGACCTGGATGCTGACCATCCGGTAGAGTATCAGACTAGTGAGTGGCTTTGAGGAGGTACACCCTAAAAAATGTAACATATTCTCACTTCTGCTGCTTCTCATTTTCAGGGTTTTAAGGACAATGTCTACCGCAAAAGGAGAAAGTATTTTGCAGATCTTGCGATGGCCTACAGACAGTAAGTTTCTGTGTACTTATAAACCTGTTGATATCTTTTTTAATAACACTAAATAATACAGCACATACTTTCCTAATAACTCATTTACCTGGAGGATACTTTCAATGAAGCCTAGATGTTACTTTCATAACTTTTAAGGTACTTTTATAGTAGTTTTCAGGGAACATACTGACTCTTTTCCAAGACTTGGTTGTTTATTTTTGTTGTTTGTTTCAAATAATTTAAACATTACCTTATAGAACTGTTATGAAACTTACTGGTTGCTTCCATGGAACGTAACTGGTTATTTTAAGCAAATTTGAGCTTACTTACCAAATATTTTTGGGTATATTAACAGAACTTCAACTTTCATAGAGCCTATTATAATATTTCAAAACATGCCAAGTAGCCTAATCTCACAGATCCTAGAAACTACTCTGCTGAAACACTGAGTTTTCTTTATAAAAGTTCTGGAAAAGGGCTTAATAGTTTATATGAAGCTACCCCTATTTTAATCACCAATAAGTTTAATGACATTGCAAGGGAAGCTCTTGGTAAATAGCAAAGAATATGAAGCAATGAAGTAAGTTTCAGAAGTAACCTTAACCCTTAATTCCAGAAAAAAAAAAAAATGTAAAAACAATCCACTGGACTTGCTTTACTTATAAAAACAGATTCTGGAACTGATTTCCACACTGATTCTTAAAAAAAAGTTAAAATCAATCCACTGGACTTTGTTTCCAGGTTTGAAGACGTTTCTCTTCCATCCAGGAAGCGTTTTCAATTAAAAATGTCAGAAATAGCGTTTAGTTCCAGGTTTTATACAGTAGCCAATAACCCTTTATAGGGCCTCAGTGAAATACTTTGAAAATCAACATTTCCAGCCAAAAGTGTTATTATTGAGAAGAGACCTTATTACCTTATTACCTTTGTAACATTAAAAAAAATATGGATATTTTGATGGCAAAAATTGATGTCAATGTAAGAATGAGGAAACGCCAACTTGCCCGAATATACCAAGAAAAATAACAAAAGATCTTCTATAACAAATTCATGAAAAAACACTCAGAGTGAAAGAAACATTTTTTTTGGGGACATGACCTTAGAGGCATTAATGCTGATACTGGCACTTACAACTTTTAGTTTATAAACCTAAATATAATTGTTAACTAGGCTTGTTAACTTTTAAATTAACTTTTTACCTTTTTTTGTTGTTAACTTTTTTTTCCAACTTAATTTCCAATATGTAATCTCTCATTCAAGAGCTCATCTAATTAGTCAAATGCCAAAATAAGATGTGCAGCCATGATGCAGGATCTTTGCTGATTGGCTGGTTTAACTGCTCAGGTCTGATTTTTAGGAAGGCAATGCATCATACAGATGTCTTTCAACATTTTATTCTCTCTCTCTTGTCAAAGATACTCTGAAAACTATTAAAAAATGTAAGAATATAAAACACATCAATCACACATTCACAGAAATAAATGTCTCTGAGTACACAGATTTAAAAGAAAATAAGTCAAGCTAGATTAAACAGGGAGTGGATCCTACATGCTAAATAATCAACATGAAACATTCAAATAATCAATCATCCGCATGCGCCTGTCAGACCAGAACAGAATAGTGTTTTCTCTTGAGTGGATCATTAACGTTGCTGCAATGCTGGCATGTGTCTCTGCAGCCATACTGGATCACCCATAATTTAGTTCAAATCCACTAACTGGACTCATCATGTGACCTTTATTCACAAACAACTCAAAAACGGTAAATTAACTTTACTAAATCAATTAAAAGAAATATTTTCAAAGACAATTCTTTTAACTCTTAACTATCCCCTGGAGACTTACAGCTGGATATAGATATTGTGCTTCTAGACCTCACTGAGGGACGGGGGGGACATTTGTAAGGGGTATGCAAATGATCAGAAACTTTAACCTAAAGGGTTAAAGATCAGAGAAATGATCAGAAATATGCTGGATCAGATATGTTTGTGTTTTTTGTTTTTTTTTATGCAATACTTACAGATAGTTTTGTTTTCCACCAGTGGGGATCCCATCCCTCATATTGACTTCACAGAAGAGGAAGTGAAGACTTGGGGGGTCGTATACAGGGAGCTTAACAAGCTTTATCCCAGCCACGCCTGTCGGGAATACTTAAAGAACCTGCCGCTGCTGTCCAAATACTGTGAATGTCGGGAAGACAACATCCCTCAGCTGGAGGATGTTTCACGCTTCCTCAAAGGTCAGTCTCATCAAACAAATACAGCTGCTCTATTGTTTGCACGTTTAGTCACAATGTTCCTATTTTTTAGAGCGAACTGGATTCACCATCAGACCCGTGGCGGGTTATCTGTCTCCACGGGATTTTCTCGCTGGTTTGGCCTTCCGGGTTTTCCACTGTACTCAATATGTGCGACACAGCTCGGATCCCTTATACACCCCTGAGCCGTGAGTATGCTTGTTTGCTATGTATGATGGTATTTGTTATTGCAACATGACTGTGCTCAATGTTCTTATATCTGCCATCATACAGGGACACGTGCCATGAGCTCCTGGGACACGTTCCGCTGTTAGCAGAGCCCAGCTTCGCCCAGTTTTCTCAGGAGATTGGTCTCGCTTCTCTCGGAGCCTCGGATGATTCTGTTCAGAAACTGGCCACAGTGAGTGTCGTTAGTTTCAAGCTAACATAAATAAACGCTTCGAGTCTTTTATATTCTACCAACTCCTTTGTAAATGCTAATTGTTTCTGTTCCAGTGCTACTTCTTTACAGTGGAGTTTGGCCTATGCAAACAAGAAGGGCAGCTGCGTGCATATGGAGCTGGCCTGCTGTCATCCATCAGTGAGCTGAAGGTAGGAAACAATAAACTAAACACTTCTTAATGCAAAATCATATATTTAGGTGTGAAAAGATGTAAAATTCAACGTTATCAAAGAACACCTTTTATCCATTTGTCATTTTAATTTGGTGAAAATAATTAAAAGATATTTTATTGAACAAAACGGTCCAACGGATGAAATTACATCATTTTCTGACCAGATTTTCCTTTTTTTTCTTGCTTTTTCTTAAAGCACGCACTGTCTGGAAATGCAAGGATAATGCCTTTTGATCCCAAAGTTACATGCAAGCAGGAATGCATCATCACAACATTTCAAGATGTCTACTTCGTGTCAGACAGTTTTGAGGAAGCCAAAGTCAAGATGAGGTTTGTTTTCTTTGCTCTTATTTTCTAATGTAAGACCATCGTTTGGATAAAAACAATATTTTTCTTTGCATGCATTTAAACATGTATATTCCATTCAGGGAGTTTGCGAAGACCATCAAACGTCCCTTCACAGTTCGATACAACCCCTACACCCAGAGCGTAGACGTCCTCAAAGACACTCCCAGCATCAATAGCGTGGTGGAGGAGCTCCGACATGAGCTGGACATCGTGGGAGATGCTCTCTGCAGGCTCAACAAGCAACTGGGTGTTTGACTGAACAGCTGAAGTACCATGTGACCCCCCAACGCTGCTGTAGCCATGTCTGCTTGTGCTTTTGTCACTAAAATGAATGTGCATCACTTTATGGGAACTTTCTCTGTCATCCTAACTGTGTGGTAAATGGTTTAAACCAGAGGTCTTCAACAGGGGGTCCGCGACCCCTAGGGGGTCCGCAGAGGTACTGCATGGGGGTCGCAAAGTTTTGGTTAATTAGACTTATATTCCCCCCTGCAATATTTTCCACTAATTGAATGAATTGAATTCAACACACTGTAGTAAACAGATAAATGGAGGCAGGAGATGTCTTTCAGTCATCAGTGCAGATCTGCTTTTTTGAGTAAAAATAAGTCAAATATCTGAAAAAAGAGTGGAAATTAGAAGATTATATAAAAAATGTTTTGTTATTGTTGTTCCAATAAGTTTAATAGTAAGAATAGAAACATAGACTCTAGATTTTTCCAGTTCTTCAAAAAGTCAGAGAAAGAATATCAAGATTTGACGCATAAAATATCTAAAAACGTGACTTATATTTTTAGATAGTCTTCAACATAAATGACAAATGAACCAGAGAAAAGAGGTGAAACAGGTATAGGATAGCTGTAACCTAAACCTTTTTTTTTATATTCCCTCCTGCATTTTTTTCCACTCATTGAAATGTCTTTAAATCCACATTAACATGAATCCAGCAGACTGTAGTAAACAGATAAATGGAGGCAGAAGATGTCTTTCAGTCATCAATGCTCACATTCAGCGACACACAGGAGCTCTTTCAATCTGGACACCGTTTCATTCACAACACCTGTCCCATCAACCAGGAATCAGAAATACTTTAATAATCCCAGGGAGGGATTACTTTAGTTACATTACTCCATCTGTAATAGAGTGACTATAGGACCAGTTTGATAGAACACTATTTCATACAATATATAAAATTAGGGGGTCCCCGCTCCATCTCGCCATCCGTTTGGGGTCCTTAGCCTGGAAAACGTTGAAGACCGCTGGTTTAAACTATCTCCAGGGGAATTAGAAGGCTGTGTTTCACCTAAATGTCGATATGTTCCACCAACCCAAAGAGCTGCTTGATTTGACGCACTAAACCTGCTTCCATTGTGCTGACGTCTGTACTGCAAACAATCAATGTGCTTTGATTTTTTTTTTTTTAAACATGATTTGTTTTTAGTAACATTTTAGCACGTTCTTTCTCCCTCGGATAACCATGGTGACGTGTAACTGTTATTTTCCTTTTGTAATTTATTTGTTCTTTTCTTCACTGATAACCTGTACCTTGTTTTTATTCTTTTACTGTTTGTATCCAAGTCTCTTCTTTGTGCTGTTTGAAGGAAGTTATGAAAGATAAATCCTTAACTCTGTAGTGTTAAAAGAATACTTTCATTATTGATTATGACAGACTGGCCTGTGCACACAGTTTATTTTACAGTGATCATTTTAAATATTTCTTCCTAAAGTGAAAACAACTGATGTAGTCTGGGATTTCAATATTATTTTTCTACTGTAAGGAATATCAGTCAGTAGGAATAGGCTGTATGTACAACTGAAAAAACCCACAATAAAGAGTTGGACTGTGTCTTAAAATGTTTTATTTTATTTTAAATCATGTAGACATAAGGAACTTACCTATCGTAATGCCTGGTAAAAGTCTGAAAACAGTAAAAAAAACAAGTTATCTTCCTTAAGATCACTTTTCAAGATGGTCCAAACTGACAAAGTGAAATATTCATTAAACAATTATAAACCCTTACTGCCAAACTACAAAACGTTCCACACATATCACATCTATTACGTTTTGAGAATAAGATTTTGCAGAGGCTGCTGGAACAATGTTCAAGGGATTGAGTTTTCCTAATTACTCTGACTTTAAGAGATTTCCACTTTCGTTGGTTTTTAAATGTTTCCAAACTAATGCAGAAACACACATAAACTGCAAATGTTATTAATAAAGCTGGGGAAGATTCTCAGTCATCCAGGTCAGAGTCTTTCCAAAAAAAAAAAAAAAATCCTTTGTTGTTTGTTGTTGACTTTGTTTCCAAGTCTGAAGGCAATTCAAAATTTAGAATTTTAATATTGAACATTTAAATTCTTAATGTGTGACAGGCGGCAGGCACTGATCTTTATTTATAAATAATAATTATATTAGTAAATAAATAGATAAATTAATAAATAGAGATAGTTTCTTTAATAAACTTTATTTACAAATAAAGAATATACAATTGCAAATAGTTGTATGCTCAAGGTGCTGGGAAAACAAATCCACAGGATTCCATGACAAAAAAGGAGAGAAAAAAAAAACAACAGTTTACAAATTAAATGCATCACAGTTGGTGCACATTTTTAAAGAATCCAAAAAACATCTGACATAAGCTCTAAAAACATGGAGGTTTGGTTTGTTTTTAGCAAATTTACAGGCATGTATGTGGAACTTTGCCAACAGAATAAGAACGTTTATGAGATATTCTTTCCCAGACATACTGTAATTGGAAAAACCAAAGGAAACATGTTTGACATTTAAAGGAATAATTATATGTAATTCCCGACTAAAGAAAATGTTGAAGTTACACCAAAACATTTTGGATGTGCTCTCTTAATCCTCTGACATGGGAGCTGGCTCGGAGCTCGTCTGCCTGGCTGTGTGTTTCCTGGACGGGGCCGCCTGTGGAGCTGGTTGACAGTTGCCTTTTGTATCTATGCTTCTTTTTCTATGTCTGCTTCTGTCTCCTTGAACCCCAGTGGGCCTCAGCAGATGGCCGCTCACACTGAGCCTGGTTCTGCTGGAGGTTTCTTCCTGTTCAAAGGGAGTTTTTCCTCTCCACTGTCGCTACAAGCATGCTTAGTGTGAGGGATTGCTGAAGAGTCAATGAGTCGATGCAATCAGCTGGTTTTCCTTAGATAGAAAACTTTGAATCAATCTGACTGGATGATCTGGTGAACTGGAAAGTGACCTGAGATGACATGATGTGAATTGGAGATATAGAAATAAACTGAATAGAATTGAATTTTACTGAAAGAGCATTCCCAAAATAGGCGGGTTCATGTTTCTTGTTTGATGTGACAAAGGAGCAGGAACAGGATCAATATTTGGAAAATGTTTATTAAATTCTGAATGAACAGGGTAACACCTGTTTAAAGGACACCTCCTGTACTTTATTTGAGAGGAAAAAACTTTCTTGGCAACAACCATGTATGTTCCCAATCAATATCTGAATAAAGATTATTAATGCAGATTATTGATGCAGGTTTGCTGATAGGATTCCTCTGGATGATTTCTTTAATTTGTTTGTTTCCATTTTTAATGCTAAGGAACTACGGAAGAGGATTAGGGACACTGAAAAAAAAATAGTTAAATGATTTTTTTTTTTCAGTTTAACATGGGAAAAAGTCAGAATTCTGACTTTTTTTTCTCAGAATTCTGACTTTAATCTAAGAATTCTGACAGATAACAAACCTGTTAGCATCAAGCCATAGCCATGTCTGTTTTAGAGACTAGCTCTCTTGTTTTTCATGACCTTCTGCTCCTCCATTAATGAGGGGACCCCACGGGCACGTAAAAAGTTGCCTAATTCCGTCATTTTCCACCAATGTGTTCCTGTTCCTCTCAAACAACTCACATCTTTGTCAGTGAAGCTGAGTGCTCCACATCTCTGCCTTCATGGTGCCCATCTACATTAAGATCCACAATTCTGAGATTAAAGTCAGAATTCTGAGAAAAAAGTCAGAATTATGAGATTAAAGTCAGAAATCTTCCTACATCTTATTTAATTGAATTTATTTTTCTATTGTATATACTGTGCCTAAACATCCTCTATTTTCTTGTATGTGCAATTTTTCCTGCTACTGGAAATACAATTTCCCGAAGGGAGTAATCCCAAGGGATTAATAAAGTCAAGTCTAAGTCTAAGTTTAAATCTGAGAAAAAAGTCAGAATTCTGAGATTGAAGTCAGAATTCTGAGGAAAAAAAAGTCAGAATTATGCATTAAAGTCAGAAATCTGAGAAAAAAGTCAGAATTCTGAGATTAAAGTCAGAATTCTGAGAAAAAAGTCAGAATTCTGAGATTAAATTTAGAATTATGAGAAAAAAGTCAAAATTCTGAGATTAAAGTCAAAATTCTGAGATTAAAGTCAGAATTCTGAGATTAATGTCAGAAATCTGACAAAAAAGTCAAAATTCTGAGATTAAAGTCAAAATTCTGAGATTAAAGTCAGAATTCTGACAAAAAAGTCAGAATTCTGAGAAAAAAGTCAAAATTATGAGATTAAAGTCAGAAATCTGAGAAAAAAGTTAAATAATAAATATTAAACTGAAATAAAATTTAAAAATCAGTTAACTTTTTTTTTTCCCCAATCCTCTTCCGTAGGAACGGATCTGAATTACCAATAAATAACTCTGGAAATCTGGGATATTGGACATAGGCTCTACCTGAGGATCATATAGGAAAGTTCAAAGCTGCTGGAATAGAGCAGAAAACAACTGAAAATTCTTTAGGGGTCACAGGGAAGTTATATTTATTAAGAAATTCCCCTTAATTTAACAGTTGACTATTCTCATTAAACAGCTGTTTTACAAATAGAATATCATTATCCACCCAGTTCTTAAGAAATATGGATTTATGCTTGAAGCAAATATTTTAGTTATTCCAAACAAAACAGAAAAGTTATGCTTATAAACTAATGTTGAGAATAAAAGTAGTTAGATCATTTAACAGGGAGCTTTTCTATTTTATAGTTACATCTTAATAAAAAGTCTAGATTAGGGAGCTTTTCTATTTTATAGTTACATCTTAATAAAAAGTCTAGATTTAAAGGCTGATCAGTGGAAGCTGATGGTGGCAGGGCTCAATTCACTGACGTGATCGGAATTTGCGACAGTGTCGCAAGCCGTGTTTGTTTTACTGCCGGTGTGCTCCATGGAAACACGCTCACCCCTCACGTTTTGTTTACATGCTTGGGTAAGTTTGTTTTCCTCACAAAAAGCCGCCGTCACCTTTTTTCAGGCTGTGTGTTTATTCATTTAAGAAAATTACTGAACTGCGCGTGGCTGCGGCTGATCTGAGGATTGTGATTATTTGATTCTGGAAGCTAAAGTTTAGCCTTTTTAGCTTCCATATTACAGCTACAGCTCCCAGAACAGGAGCAGAGTGTGAATCATTGAACATCAGACATGAATTTATCTCTTTATGTGCGTTTTGTTGTTCAGGGAGCAAACAGCTACGGTCAGCTGGGACAGAACCATGCGGAGGACCAGAGCAGACCGAGGCTGTCTGACACCGAGGCTCTGCGGGACCAGACGGTCCGGACTGTGGGCGGAGGAGGGGGACACTCCTTGGTTCTCACCGGTCAGTTTGTTTGTTTTCCAAGAAATAAACTGAAGGTTGTTGAGACCAAAGACAGGATCTGTGGTTTAGATCACTTCACAGACATACACTATAGGAGGGGAAATGGCGACCTCTGCTGGACGAATTATTAAACTGCGATTAAAATAAAAGCTCTCAAAGGGGTGATAGAATGCAGGGTTTCCATTGTCATAGATAATTAACAATAGTTCAGTGGGTGAAATAGACGCACAGAGAAGTTCAAACCCCATCAACTCCTCCTTTCTCTGTAAATCTCACTATTCTAAACTTCCACCATAAAAATTCTATCACCCCTTTAGTGTCCAAGGGAAATTTAAATGTCAAATCATTCTGTCTCAAACATGTATATAAATGTCCTCTTTATCAGAGCATATTGTCCCAAAATGTAAAAAATTTCTATAAAAAAAAAAAAATAATTGGTCAATGACAACGGTCATCTGTCAATCATTTTATTAAGCTTGCATAAGTTATATTTCTACAATCATATCTTTACTTGTATGTCTTTGAGACCGTAAACATGCTCTAAAATACAATTTAGATTTATAATAACCGTTTGAAATAAAATGCAGTTTCATTTAAAAAAAATAAAGAGTACTAAGAGCCGCTTAGTTACTGTTAAGTGGAATTTAACATGAGCAGATTGGCTGTTCAGTTATTTTCTGCTTCTTTTATTATAGTAAATAATTTAAAGGAAAAGTTCGGTCAGCAAAGATTAAACAGTGGATCATTATTTATACCTAAAGCTAACATGTTAGCAGTGATTTAAGGATTATGGTCTTAATCACTAAAAAAATAAAAATAATTATTTTCGTGGCAATCACTGAGTCTGGGAGCGGCCATTTTTCCCCAAATATAGTAGCCCCTCCCTCCTGCCATCTTCCAGCAGTGACGTCACGGTGCGGTAAGCCTAGCGCCGTTCTCCCCGCTTTACAAGCTAAATCAATGGGAACTACTAGACACATCTGCAATCAACAACAATTATTGAAGATTTCCAGAGGACTTCACCATTGAAATTCACCAGAGCTATAGTGAAACTGACAATGCCCACGTGCATGGCAGCTGGATGCTGGAATACATCGGGTAAAAGTGGAAAAAAAAAGAGTTATTCCACCTTTCTGATTCCTGATCCTCCACGGACGGGTTGGTCGTTGGATCGCCAACTTGAAGAGGGAGGATTTGCCATCGAACTTCTGGCCAGAGAAAAAACCCGTAATATGTAGCCAACATTTGGAAGAAGAATGTTTTCAAGATGACTTGGATAATAGCGCGTTGTGACAAACACCAGATACAGCACGGGGACTTGATCAACAGCCGATGCCGCACCGTGACGTCACTAACCAGTAGGTGGCAGTAGTGTTCTTTGACAAACATGGATGCCTCCAGTAAAGCACATTCACATGAAAATTACTCTGAATTAAAAACACTGATCATTTATTGAACAGGATGGAATCATTTCAGATTTAAAGAACTTTCAGAAGTTTGGATTCTGGATGTGAGCGACTTTTCCTTTAAAATGAAATTGTTTATTGATTTTCCTTTGTTAAATGACCTATTCTCTAAAATTCAATGTTTTGGAGATCATAGTTTCTCAAATCCTTCCTGTCTTTAATTTGGATTTAATGTGAGCGGACAAACCCTTAACTAACCTGATCCCAGCTCTATCATTTTAAAAGCAAATGCTGTGTTTGAGTTTAAACTTCTCTAAAGAAAACGCATCATGTAATGTTCTTAAGGTTTTTTTTGTGTGCGTTTACCAGAGAGAGGAGAGGTGTTTGTCTGTGGACAGAATCACAAAGGCCAGCTGGGACTCGCTCACTGTTCTGATGTCTTAACGCTTCAGCTCTGCCCTGTTTTGAATCACAAAGTCTCAAATGTAGCCTGCGGCTGGGATTTTACTCTTCTCATCACTGGTGAGCAGTTAATATAACTCACAAACAACATCTTACTACAGGTATGTTTTATTTTTTTAACGTTTGATGATAGATCTGGTTGCTCTGTTAACTCTATAGCCCCATACACACTACCTTTTTGAAACTGAGCCAAGATCGAGTGGAGCACGGTAACAGAGATACCTGTAGAGTTTAAATGGCCCACAAGACTGAACCGGACCCAGATACAACCGACCGCGCTAACATGGTACTAGTCCATCAGTAGGGCTCGGCCACAGATCTCTGTTTATTCACCGGATTGCTGATTGCCACGAAAAAATGCATTAAAAATGCCTCCCTGTGCAGCATTAGGCTGCAAAAACAAGCAGTTTGCTGGCTTTAGGAAGACGTTAAGCAGTGTGATGAACCTCAACGTCTGTCGTTGTTTCCTGCGTCTGGAAGCCCTGATTAGACGATCGTTTGTCGTATCCACTTCCCAAAAGCCGACTCTGTCAAGTAAATTCACCAAAGGCTGCCTTCTTCGCCTGACTCTCCACAAACTTCCTGAATGTTACAGGCGCCTCCATGTTTGTTTGCTTGTTTCCTTCTAGAGAGCAGTAGTACCGTAGATCGCCACTAGTGAGGAACCGTGCTAGCGTGGTGTGTAAGGAACCCAGCTCAGCACAGTTAACTGATCAAAGCTCAGCATGGATTGGTTATTGGAGGGTAGTGGAAATGCGGCATATGAATGATAATACTAAATTCCCTGTGGGTTTATATTATTAAAGTTATTTTAACCGTGGTGACCGTGACTAACTGGATGTGCTCTCTTCATCCTCTGACATGGGAGCTGGCTCGGAGCTCGTCTGCCTGGCTGTGTGTTTCCTGGACGGGGCCGCCTGTGGAGCTGGTTGACAGTTGCCTTTTGTATCTATGCTTCTTTTTCTATGTCTGCTTCTGTCTCCTTGAACCCCAGTGGGCCTCAGCAGATGGCCGCTCACACTGAGCCTGGTTCTGCTGGAGGTTTCTTCCTGTTCAAAGGGAGTTTTTCCTCTCCACTGTCGCTACAAGCATGCTTAGTGTGAGGGATTGCTGAAGAGTCAATGAGTCGATGCAATCAGCTGGTTTTCCTTAGATAGAAAACTTTGAATCAATCTGACTGGATGATCTGGTGAACTGGAAAGTGACCTGAGATGACATCATGGGAATTGGAGCTATAGAAATAAACTGAATAGAATTAACCTTGCTGCATATGTTTGTGACCTTACTGTAATAGAATTAAATTGGATCAGTAGTTAAATTATACTTTGTCTTGGAAAAAAAAAATCAGTTGGTATAAAAGTTGACAGGAAATGATGCATTATTCCATCCTGTTCAGATTTATCCAATATTATCAAGTTAAAGAAAAAACTACAACAGAGTTAAGCCAAGCATACAGTGTGCAGCTTTGTTACCCTTTTCAGGCCGATTCTCCAGTCGGGCGAGAATTTTTCGAACAGGCCGACTTTCAGCCTGATGGTGCGTGGTGTAGTGAACAGGCGATGGCGAGGAGAGATCAGCCTCTAACGACCACCCCCCCATCAGGAATCATGAGGTAGGGAGATAGCTGCATGCAATGATTAAAACAATCGCACAGTGTATGCCTGGCTTTAGTCATGACCTGTCAGCAGGTTTAAAATGAAGCTGAGCTTAACTTATGGGTCTTAATCAAGGTTAACTCATCATTTCCACATTTGATCATTTATCTTGATTAGCTCTTATAAAATTCAGTTTATTCACATCATGTCATCTCAGGTCACTTTCCAGTTCACCAGATCATCCAGTCAGATTGATTCAAAGTTTTCTATCTAAGGAAAACCAGCTGATTGCATCGACTCATTGACTCTTCAGCAATCCCTCACACTAAGCATGCTTGTAGCGACAGTGGAGAGGAAAAACTCCCTTTGAACAGGAAGAAACCTCCAGCAGAACCAGGCTCAGTGTGAGCGGCCATCTGCTGAGGCCCACTGGGGTTCAAGGAGACAGAAGCAGACATAGAAAACAAACATAGAAGCACTGATCTATATGATGATATATGTAATGCTTTAAATACCAGCCAGGCTGAAAACAGGATCCAGGTTAGCCACTGTTTTCCTTTTCTTAACAGTTAAGCTCGGCTTCCAATAAGTGGGTTTAATTTTTGACTGTTTATTGTATTATTCTTATTATAAAACTGGTTACTGGATACGATTGATCATGTTTCCCATTTTAAGTTATGAAAAATGCTAAAGCTTTAAACTTTTTAGCCATTAATAATTGATTAAACCCAGGAGTTTTTAGAAATGTTTATGTTCTCATTTCAAAGTCAGACTTTTTTCGTTTTTGGCTTCATAATAAATCTCTTAGCGTCGTTTCTCCGCATCTGTAGATCTTTTCAGAAAGCAACTAAAAACTTTAGTCTTTCTCAGTTTATTGGTTGACACTTTTGTTCTGTGACTGAATACTTCTGACTTCCTTGCGTATTGCTTTGATGTAGACGTCTTATTTTTTCCTGACAGATAGTGGTCAGCTGTTGGCGTGCGGTTCCAACGCCTTCGGACAGCTGGGCGTCGGACCGACGCTCTCACACTCTGCTGAGCTCCTGGCTGTGGAGGTGAGACCCTGTCAGCAGTCTGCGCCGTTTTACAGGCCAATCACAGAGGATGAATAGACCATTAAAGATCATATATAGATGACGGCAAAAGTAACACGTATCAAACAAATGTATTTCTGTGAAGTTTGATGGTTGTCTTTCATTAAAATAAGCAAAAAATGTAAAAGAATCTCTTTACATTTAATGATCACTAAATATGCTTGGAGACAGATCTCTGTGAACAACCTGCTCCTGCTGCTCCTGTACCTCCTGTACCTCCTGTTGCTCCTGTACCTCCTGTTGCTCCTGCTGCTCCTGTACCTCCTGCTGCTCCTGTACCTCCTGTACCTCCTGTTGCTCCTGTACCTCCTGTTGCTCCTGCTGCTCCTGTACCTCCTGCTGCTCCTGTACCTCCTGTTGCTCCTGTACCTCCTGTTGCTCCTGTACCTCCTGTTGCTCCTGCTGCTCCTGTACCTCCTGCTGCTCCTGTACCTCCTGCTGCTCCTATACCTTCTGTTGCTCCTGTACCTTCTGTTGCTCCTGTACCTCCTGTTGCCCCTGTACCTCCTGTTGCTCCTGTACCTCCTGTTGCTCCTGTACCTCCTGTTGCTCCTGTACCTCCTGTTGCTCCTGCTGCTCCTGTACCTCCTGATGCTCCTGTACCTCCTTTTCCTCCTGTTGCTCCTGTACCTCCTGTTGCTCCTGTACCTTCTGTTACTCCTGTTGCTCCTGCTGCTCCTGTACCTCCTGCTGCTCCTGTACCTCCTGTTGCTCCTGTACCTCCTGTTGCTCCTGTACCTCCTGTTGCTCCTGTACCTCCTGTTGCTCCTGCTGCTCCTGTACCTCCTGTTGCTCCTGTACCTCCTGTTGCTCCTGTACCTTCTGTTACTCCTGTTGCTCCTGCTGCTCCTGTACCTCCTGCTGCTCCTGTACCTCCTGTTGCTCCTGTACCTCCTGTTGCTCCTGTACCTCCTGTTGCTCCTGCTGCTCCTGTACCTCCTGCTGCTCCTGTACCTTCTGTTGCTCCTGTACCTCCTGTTGCCCCTGTAGCTCCTGTTGCTCCTGTACCTCCTGCTGCTCCTGTACCTCCTGCTGCTCCTGTACCTCCTGCTGCTCCTGTACCTCCTGCTGCTCCTGTACCTTCTGTTGCTCCTGTACCTCCTGTTGCTCCTGTTGCTCCTGTACCTCCTGTTGCTCCTGTACCTTCTGTTGCTCCTGTACCTCCTGTTGCTCCTGTACCTCCTGTTACTCCTGTACCTTCTGTTACTCCTGTTGCTCCTGTACCTCCTGTTCCTCATGTTGCTCCTGTACCTCCTTTTCCTCCTGTACCTCCTGTTGCTCCTTTTGCTCCTGTACCTTCTGTTGCTCCTGTACCTCCTGTTGCTCCTGTACCTCCTGTTACTCCTGTACCTTCTGTTACTCCTGTTGCTCCTGTACCTTCTGTTACTCCTGTTGCTCCTGTACCTTCTGTTGCTCCTGTTCCTCCTGTTGCTCCTGTACCTCCTGTACCTCCTTTTCCTCCTGTACCTTCTGTTGCTCCTGTACCTCCTTTTCCTCCTGTACCTCCTGCTGCTCCTGTACCTCCTGTTGCTCCTGTACCTCCTGCTGCTCCTGTACCTCCTGCTGCTCCTGTACCTTCTGTTGCTCCTGTACCTCCTGTTGCCCCTGTACCTCCTGTTGCTCCTGTACCTCCTGCTGCTCCTGTACCTCCTGTTGCTCCTGTACCTCCTGTTGCTCCTGTACCTTCTGTTGCTCCTGTACCTCCTGTTGCTCCTGTACCTCCTGCTGCTCCTGTACCTCCTGTTGCTCCTGTACCTCCTGCTGCTCCTGTACCTCCTGCTGTTCCTGTACCTCCTGTTGCTCCTGTACCTCCTGTTGCTACTGTACCTCCTGCTGCTCCTGTACCTCCTGCTGCTCCTGTTGCTCCTGTACCTTCTGTTGCTCCTGTACCTCCTGTTGCTCCTGTACCTCCTGTTGCTACTGTACCTCCTGCTGCTCCTGTACCTCCTGCTGCTCCTGTACCTCCTTTTGCTCCTGTACCTTCTGTTGCTCCTGTACCTCCTTTTCCTCCTGTTGCTCCTGTACCTCCTGTTGCTCCTGTACCTTCTGTTACTCCTGTTGCTCCTGTACCTTCTGTTGCTCCTGTACCTTCTGTTGCTCCTGTACCTCCTGCTGCTCCTGTACCTCCTGTTGCTACTGTACCTCCTGCTGCTCCTGTACCTCCTGCTGCTCCTGTACCTCCTGTTGCTCCTGTACCTTCTGTTGCTCCTGTACCTTCTGTTGCTCCTGTACCTCCTGCTGCTCCTGTACCTCCTGTTGCTACTGTACCTCCTGCTGCTCCTGTACCTCCTGCTGCTCCTGTACCTCCTGTTGCTCCTGTACCTTCTGTTGCTCCTGTACCTCCTGTTGCTCCTGTACCTCCTGTTGCTCCTGTACCTTCTGTTGCTCCTTTACCTCCTGTTGCTCCTGTGTCTCCTGTACCTTCTGTTGCTCCTGTACCTCCTGTACCTTCTGTTGCTCCTATACCTCCTGTTGCTCCTGTGCCTTCTGTTGCTCCTGTACCTCCTGTTGCTCCTGTACCTCCTGTTGCTCCTGTTGCTCCTGTACCTTCTGTTGCTCCTGTACCTCCTCTTGCTCCTGTACCTCCTGTTACTCCTGTACCTTCTGTTACTCCTGTACCTTCTGTTGCTCCCGTACCTCCTGTTGCTCCTCTACCTTCTGTTACTCCTGTTGCTCCTGTACCTTCTGTTGCTCCTGTTCCTCCTGTTGCTCCTGTACCTCCTTTTCCTCCTGTTGCTCCTGTACCTTCTGTTGCTCCTGTACCTCCTTTCCTCCTGTACCTCCTGTTGCTCCTGTACCTCCTGCTGCTCCTGTACCTCCTGCTGCTCCTGTACCTCCTGCTGCTCCTGTACCTTCTGTTGCTCCTGTTCCTCCTGTTGCTCCTGTACCTCCTGTACCTCCTTTTCCTCCTGTACCTCCTGTTGCTCCTTTTGCTCCTGTACCTTCTGTTGCTCCTGTACCTCCTGTTGCTCCTGTACCTCCTGTTACTCCTGTACCTTCTGTTACTCCTGTTGCTCCTGTACCTTCTGTTGCTCCTGTTCCTCCTGTTGCTCCTGTACCTCCTGTACCTCCTTTTCCTCCTGTACCTCCTGCTGCTCCTGTACCTCCTGTTGCTCCTGTACCTCCTGTTGCTCCTGTACCTCCTGCTGCTCCTGTACCTCCTGCTGCTCCTGTACCTCCTGCTGCTCCTGTACCTTCTGTTGCTCCTGTACCTCCTGTTGCCCCTGTACCTCCTGCTGCTCCTGTACCTCCTGCTGCTCCTGTACCTCCTGTTGCTCCTGTACCTTCTGTTGCTCCTGTACCTTCTGTTGCTCCTGTACCTCCTGTTGCTCCTGTACCTCCTGCTGCTCCTGTACCTCCTGTTGCTCCTGTACCTCCTGCTGCTCCTGTACCTCCTGCTGTTCCTGTACCTCCTGTTGCTCCTGTACCTCCTGTTGCTACTGTACCTCCTGCTGCTCCTGTACCTCCTGCTGCTCCTGTACCTCCTGCTGCTCCTGTACCTCCTGTTGCTACTGTACCTCCTGCTGCTCCTGTACCTCCTGTTGCTCCTGTACCTCCTGCTGCTCCTGTACCTCCTGCTGTTCCTGTACCTCCTGTTGCTCCTGTACCTCCTGTTGCTCCTGCTGCTCCTGTACCTCCTGTTGCTACTGTACCTCCTGCTGCTCCTGTACCTCCTGTTGCTCCTGTACCTCCTGTTGCTCCTGTACCTTCTGTTGCTCCTGTACCTCCTGTTGCCCCTGTACCTCCTGTTGCTCCTGTACCTCCTGTTGCTCCTGTACCTTCTGTTACTCCTGTTGCTCCTGTACCTTCTGTTACTCCTGTTGCTCCTGTACCTTATGTTGCTCCTGTACCTTCTGTTGCTCCTGTACCTCCTGTTGCTCCTGCTGCTCCTGTACCTCCTGTTGCTACTGTACCTCCTGCTGCTCCTGTACCTCCTGCTGCTCCTGTACCTTCTGTTGCTCCTGTACCTCCTGTACCTCCTTTTCCTCCTGTACCTCCTGTTGCTCCTTTTGCTCCTGTACCTTCTGTTGCTCCTGTACCTCCTGTTGCTCCTGTACCTTCTGTTGCTCCTGTACCTCTTCCTCCTGTTGCTCCTGTACCTCCTGTTGCTCCTGTATCTTCTGTTACTCCTGTTGCTCCTGTACCTTCTGTTGCTCCTGTACCTCCTGTTGCTCCTGTACCTCCTGTTGCTCCTGTACCTCCTGTTGCTCCTGTACCTTCTGTTGCTCCTGTACCTCCTGTTACTCCTGTACCTTCTGTTACTCCTGTTGCTCCTGTACCTTCTGTTGCTCCTGTACCTCCTGTTGCTCCTGTACCTTCTGTTACTCCTGTTGCTCCTGTACCTTCTGTTGCTCCTGTTCCTCCTGTTGCTCCTGTACCTCCTTTTCCTCCTGTTGCTCCTGTACCTTCTGTTGCTCCTGTTGCTCCTGTACCTCCTTTCCTCCTGTACCTTCTGTTGCTCCTGTACCTCCTTTTCCTCCTGTTGCTTCTGTTCCTCCTGTTGCTCCTGTTCCTCCAGGTGCTCCTGTACCTCCTGTTGCTCCTGTACCTCCTGTAGCTCTTGTACCTCCTGTAGCTCTTGTACCTCCTGTAGCTTTTTTACCTCCTGTGCCTCCTGTTGCTCCTGTAGCTCTTGTACCTCCTGTTGCTCCTGTACCTCCTGTTGCTCCTGTACCTCCTTTAGCTCCTCCTCCTAAATGCTGAACTCCTGTCAAGTCAGCAGTCGTCCTCATAACTGTATGGACTCTAAAAGGAACATTACATAAATATCTTAAATATCTTTTTATTTTCTATGAAATAGAATTTTAGGTTTTCATTTTTAGCTTTAAGCCATAAAGTCTTAAAATATATAATTTGGTGTAATATATATTCTTTGCATATTCTATCGTTGTTAATTCTCCACACTTCCTCTTCTGATCTGATTATTGATTGTTTGTTTTCAGGCTCTAAAGGAGCCAGTGGTGAGCGTAGCAGCAGGACTCAGACACTCGCTCACAGTTTGCGGTACGGTAGCTTCACTGGTCTGTTTTATTGTTTAGTTTTAGTTTGGTCTGTTTTATTGTTCTATTAAACATTGAGGCCATGAATCTTCCTTTTCTGTTTAACCTCCAGCCTCCGGCTCCGTCTATCAGTGGGGAAACGGGCTTTACAGTCATGCTAAGCGAGCACTCAGCCCCCATCCTGTTCCACCTCATCTGAACTCCAAGGTTCCCTGTCTGGTACCAGGTAACCTACAGAGAGCTGATATGCATCAGTGGCAGAGAAAATGCATCTTTTCTTTGATTGAATGGTAGTTTAAAGATGTCAAACTGCCACACTGCAGGTCTCAGCCAGAGGAAATCCCACCTTGTAACAGCAGGTTCAGCACACTGTGTGTGTTTAACAGGTAAGACCATAAATAAAACATTAGTGCTGAAAAGCTCAGACTAACAATGATAAACTTAAATAAGCAGGAGACACTATTCTCTCATCTGGCCTTAAAGTCGGCTTTTCCGACTGTTGCATTTCCAAATTCTCCTGAATGGTGCCCGACTTTACACGAGTGAATAAAGTGAATGCGATTGGTCGATTATCAAGGGGGGCAGGATTGTTGTGGTGGAAGGTTCACAAGCAAGTTTGGTTGTGGCCGGTTTGTTGGAAGCATCTTGCTAACCAGTTAGCAACTTAGTGCTGGAAAGGTTACCAATGGGAAATTCCATTGGGACCAAGTAGCTTCTTACCTTTGTTTCTTAACCTGATAACTTTTTTTCAACTTAATTAACAGTAGGTAATAAATCATTTAAGGGCTCATCTAATTGGTCGAATGCCAAAATAAGATTTAAAGCCACGAAGCAGGATCTTTGCTGAAAGGCTGGATATAGATCTTACGCTTTTAGAACTCAGAGGGATGGGGGGGGACTCCATATGTAAGGGTTAAGAGGTGAGCACGTGATCACAAATGGCGACTTGCCCGATAAAGGGTTCAAGTACCTAAAGAGGAAATACACCAGGCACATAAGCGCAGCAGAACAGCGGACATGCGCTACACGTATTCCAAAAAAGTTTAAAAACAATCCACTGGACTTTGTTTTCCAAGGTTTGAAGACGTTTTGCTTCCCCTCCAGGAAGCTTTCTCCATTCAAATGTCTTTTGAATTGAGAAGTCCAGTGGATTGTTTTTAAACTTTTACGAAAAATCTACATCCGCTCTACACTATGTGTATTTCCTGTTTGGTTCCTTACCGGTTTGTTTTGTTTGTATGAAAACCACTGGTGAAAATGGAGCAGCTTCACTACTGGGACCCTTTTTCCACCTGGATCCCCCCTCTTTTTGGCCCTCATGTCCCTCCGTTGTCACACAAACTTGCCCCCAATTCCTCACCGCCTCGGCCGTATCTAGACCCACAGCTATTTCCTGATTGGCCCTCTGGCATTGTGGCGTGGAATAACATAGTGCAGACCACGCTTCAATATGGGGCATAAATCAAAAATACTGCTCAGTCTTCCCTAAATGGAACTGCTGCAAGCATCTGGGGAAGGTCTGTTTAGCAGGTCTGATTGGTCTTTAAAAACAAAAAGACATTCTACCAATGCCTTCTATGTGCATAAAAAGGTACCTTGTTAATTTTAGTGATATGTAAAAGGAAACAAAATGTTCATTGATAATGCTGATAAACCATGGCTCTTCACCCCCCTCAGTGGGTGCAGAGCCTGAGATTTTAGCCTTGTTCATGTTTCTCTCTGCTTAGCCTAACTTCACATCCTGGAGTTCGTAGACCAATGACTCAGTTGCTGCTCTGCCTTTTGTTTTTTTTACAGAAGAAGGTGAATTATTCCTGTGGGGAAGCAATAAACACGGTCAGCTGGCTACAGCTCAGCCCTTCCTGCCCTCCCCCGGTCTGCTGAATCCATCTCTGCTGAAGGGAGAGAGAGTTATTAATGTTTGCAGTGGCTGGACACACGTCGTTGCTCAAACAGGTACAAAGGTTGAGCTGCAAAGGTTTACGGCTGAGAATAGCTCACCGTCCTGCTATGTTCAAACTATAGTCATGTGGAAATAAATAGGACACTCTTAAATATTTACTTTACAAACCAAAGTCATGTCATTTATGTTCTCTTTGTATAAAAAAAATGGCAGGTAAAATGGCATAAAAAAACATTTATGAGTAATTTTTTTTTTATCTTGGTAAGAACTTAAGATCCCCCCCCCCCCCCCCCCCCACCTAGTTGTTAGTAAAGGTTTGCCCAAATAGATCTTGACTTGGACTTTTTCTGTGACTTTTCCATTTCTAATTCTCAGCCAGTCCCAGGTGGATTCATTGGGATGTTTTGAGTCACTGACATGTTGTAGGTGAGGAACCATTTCAGTCAGGCATTCAGCTAGGAATACTTCATACCTAGAGTCCTTTTCTGATTGGTTGATGCTTCGGTGTCCAGCAGCAATCAATTTATTGAACTCCAGCGTCAGATGCTCCGATGTCAGAACGCTCGGATGCGCCTCTGGACCCTGCGACGCCGTAACCCATAGACTTTTGCTTTTGGTGTGAAGGCAGCATAACTGTACATGTATTGTGAGGAGAAGCTATAATTGATAGCTGACTGGATCCAGCTGCTGCAAATCATTTATAAACTATGAAACTTCATCCTTTATTCTCAGAGTGTTTATAACCAAACATGTCCTCTGTTCTGATCTCCAAATAGTCCAGTTCTCGAGGGTTTAACCATTTCTGTGTTTACACCTTGAAGCTTTCTCTCTCCGGTTGTTTTTCCTGAACAGATATCACTTGGGACAAACTCTTCCAATAACGCTTCATAATGTATATGTTTTAAATAAACAGGAGAAATGATAACAGATTCTGATAGAAATTGTAATCTTACTCATACCAGAGAAGTTGCTTAGAGTTACAGAAGGCGGCTGCTCACCAACTGGGCTCACTTATCGGAAAGTGGCGCCGATTAACAGTTAGAGAAACATTTCCATCTCAGTTTTTCCACATCATTACATCATCACACGTTTGCAGATGATTAGACATTCATGGCTCCAGCCTTATTAAAATATTACACTTTGTTCTTAGCTAAAGGACGCCGCTCTCATTCTATTCCCAAATCTTTGCCACGCACAGAATGAAGATTATATCTGTATAAAGCCGACCGAGGAACTGGCCTGATTAGGGAAAGTAGTGGAGAAAACATCAGTTCTGAAACACAACAGGCAGCTAATATTAATGTTTAATAAACTAACACATCATCAATGATAATTATCCTAAAAAAGCTATTTTTTAATAGAAATGTTTGTATTTATTGATTAAATTTATTATTATACACATTTTTACAGCAATGGAAAATATAAAGATTTGTTTGTCCTCCCACACACTATATTAAATACGGAAGAGGATTAGGGCCACTGAAAAAAAAAGTTAACTGATTTTTACATTTTATTTCAGTTTAACATGGGAAAAAGATTAAAGATTAAAGTCAGAATTCTGAGATTAAAGTCAGAATTCTGAGATTAAAGTCAGAATTCTGAGATTAAAGTCAGAATTCTGAGAAAAAAGTCAGAATTCTGAGATTAAAGCCAGAATTCTGAGATTAAAGTCAGAATTCTGAGATTAAGGTCAGAATTCTGAGATTAAGGTCAGAATTCTGAGATTAAAGTCAGAATTCTGAGATTAAAGTCAGAATTCTGAGATTAAGTTCAGAATTCTGAGATTAAAGTCAGAATTCTGAGATTAAAGTCAGAATTCTGACTTTAATCTCAGAATACTGAGAAAAAAGTCAGAATTCTGAGATTAAGGTCAGAATTCTGAGAAAAAAGTCAGAATTCTGAAATTAAAGCCAGAATTCTAAGAAAGTCAGAATTCTGAGGAAAAAAAGTCAGAATTCTGAGATTAAAGTCAGAATTCTGAGAAAAAAGTCAGAATTCTGAGATTAAGGTCAGAATTCTGAGATTAAAGCCAGAATTCTGAGATTAAGGTCAGAATTCTGAGAAGAAAGTCAGAATTCTGAGGAAAAAAAGTCAGAATTCTGAGATTAAAGTCAGAATTCTGAGATTAAAGCCAGAATTCTGAGATTAAGGTCAGAATTCTGAGAAGAAAGTCAGAATTCTGAGGAAAAAAAGTCAGAATTCTGAGATTAAAGTCAGAATTCTGAGAAAAAAGTCAGAATTCTGAGATTAAGGTCAGAATTCTGAGAAAAAAGTCAGAATTCTGAGAAAAAAGTCAGAATTCTGAGATTAAGGTCAGAATTCTGAGAAAAAAGTCAGAATTCTGAGATTAAAGCCAGAATTCTGAGATTAACGTCAGAATTCTGAGAAAAAAGTCAGAATTCTGAGAAAAAAGTCAGAATTCTGAGATTAAAGTCAGAATTCTGAGATTAAAGCCAGAATTCTGAGATTAAGGTCAGAATTCTGAGATTAAAGCCAGAATTCTGAGATTAAAGTCAGAATTCTGAGAAAAAAGTCAGAATTCTGAGAAAAAAGTCAGAATTCTGAGATTAAGGTCAGAATTCTGAGAAAAAAGTCAGAATTCTGAAATTAAAGCCAGAATTCTAAGAAAGTCAGAATTCTGAGGAAAAAAAGTCAGAATTCTGAGATTAAAGTCAGAATTCTGAGAAAAAAGTCAGAATTCTGAGATTAAGGTCAGAATTCTGAGATTAAAGCCAGAATTCTGAGATTAAGGTCAGAATTCTGAGAAGAAAGTCAGAATTCTGAGGAAAAAAAGTCAGAATTCTGAGATTAAAGTCAGAATTCTGAGAAAAAAGTCAGAATTCTGAGATTAAGGTCAGAATTCTGAGAAAAAAGTCAGAATTCTGAGAAAAAAGTCAGAATTCTGAGATTAAGGTCAGAATTCTGAGAAAAAAGTCAGAATTCTGAGATTAAAGCCAGAATTCTGAGATTAACGTCAGAATTCTGAGAAAAAAGTCAGAATTCTGAGAAAAAAGTCAGAATTCTGAGATTAAAGTCAGAATTCTGAGATTAAAGCCAGAATTCTGAGATTAAGGTCAGAATTCTGAGATTAAAGCCAGAATTCTGAGATTAAAGTCAGAATTCTGAGAAAAAAGTCAGAATTCTGAGAAAAAAGTCAGAATTCTGAGATTAAGGTCAGAATTCTGAGAAAAAAGTCAGAATTCTGAAATTAAAGCCAGAATTCTAAGAAAGTCAGAATTCTGAGGAAAAAAAGTCAGAATTCTGAGATTAAAGTCAGAATTCTGAGAAAAAAGCCAGAATTCTGAGATTAAGGTCAGAATTCTGAGATTAAAGCCAGAATTCTGAGATTAAGGTCAGAATTCTGAGAAGAAAGTCAGAATTCTGAGGAAAAAAAGTCAGAATTCTGAGATTAAAGTCAGAATTCTGAGAAAAAAGTCAGAATTCTGAGATTAAGGTCAGAATTCTGAGAAAAAAGTCAGAATTCTGAGAAAAAAGTCAGAATTCTGAGATTAAGGTCAGAATTCTGAGAAAAAAGTCAGAATTCTGAGATTAAAGCCAGAATTCTGAGATTAACGTCAGAATTCTGAGAAAAAAGTCAGAATTCTGAGAAAAAAGTCAGAATTCTGAGATTAAGGTCAGAATTCTGAGAAAAAAGTCAGAATTCTGAGATTAAGGTCAGAATTCTGAGAAAAAAGTCAGAATTCTGAGAAAAAAGTCAGAATTCTGAGATTAAGGTCAGAATTCTGAGATTAAAGCCAGAATTCTGAGATTAAGGTCAGAATTCTGAGATTAAAGTCAGAATTCTGAGGAAAAAAAGTCAGAATTCTGAGATTAAAGTCAGAATTCTGAGAAAAAAGTCAGAATTCTGAGATTAAGGTCAGAATTCTGAGAAAAAAGTCAGAATTCTGAGAAAAAAGTCAGAATTCTGAGATTAAGGTCAGAATTCTGAGAAAAAAGTCAGAATTCTGAGATTAAAGCCAGAATTCTGAGATTAACGTCAGAATTCTGAGAAAAAAGTCAGAATTCTGAGAAAAAAGTCAGAATTCTGATATTAAGGTCAGAATTCTGAGAAAAAAGTCAGAATTCTGAGATTAAGGTCAGAATTCTGAGAAAAAAGTCAGAATTCTGAGAAAAAAGTCAGAATTCTGAGATTAAGGTCAGAATTCTGAGAAAAAAGTCAGAATTCTGAAATTAAAGCCAGAATTCTGAGATTAAGGTCAGAATTCTGAGATTAAAGTCAGAAATTGACTTTTTTTCTCATACTAAACTGAAATAAAATTTAAAAATCAGTTAACTTTTTTTTTTCCCACTGGCCCTAATCCTCTTCCGTAGTTAAAAGAAACAAAAATCCATCTTTTTCCATTTTGTTTGCTTTGAATAAGCGCGATCTGGCAGGGGGCGCTAAAGAGCCGCGGGTTGCCGACCCCCGTTGTATCATATTGTATGACATAGTGTGTGGTATTAATATTTGATTTTACTACTCGATATAAATATTTTGCCTCATAAAATCTTTTTTTAATAAGAAAAGGTGACATTTTGTTTTTTGGGCACTTTATCGTGATCTTAGAGAACAAACTGTACGTTAAACTAGAAGCGACTCCATGAATGAACATAGACTCCATCAGCAGCAGCAGACCTACTGTCCCTTTCAGGAGATTTTCTACTTATTTAAGCATTAATATTTCAGACTGATTCTAAAGACATGACAGTAAGGGGAGGGTCTAATTAGTTTACATTTCAGACAATTAAGTTTTGTTCTGTTATTTTAATTATTCAGTACTGTTGAGATTGATAGTTGATATCTATGTCCAAAAATGACTATTTGCTCCAATTTTCTTTCAGAGAATGGGAGAGTACTGACATGGGGTAGAGGAGATTACGGGCAGCTTGGTCGACCGCCCTCAGTCAACCAGAATGCAGAGAAGCCTGGTCCTGAAGCTGAGGGAAACAGGAAGGATTGCCTCCCAGTGGAAGTTACATCCCTTAATGGAGCAACACAGGTAGCATGCAGTGTCAAAGCCCTTCATCTTTGGGGGTGATTGCCTTTTCAGCAATCATTCATCTAAATCTAAGTTTTTATCGCTGAAGGTCTGTGTAGGTTAGATGGTTAGATATACTGTCAGTAGTCCAGCAGGAGGCAGCAGCTAACCACAGATAAAACCCTGGCTGATGGTTTCAAACTTCATCGTGATTTTCTGCCTACAGAAAAAAGGATGTTATTTATGCATGAGGAAGACATCTGCTTCCATAAGGCGGACATCTCTATCATAAGAGTAATTCATTGTGTGGTTTTGGGGGGGGGCACTTAACCTGCAGCCTGAACGGGTGCTGTATGGAAGCGGCGCTTTGTCAGTAAGGTTGGTGTCAGACGGACAAGGGCAAGTACTGGATCGTTCGCCGCTGAGTACAGAGCAGCTCAGCTGCAATGAGGCGTGTCCAACAGGAATCATCTCTGAGTGTCTAAGTGCTTCATGAAAAGCCAGATGAATTAGTAGAGCAGTTGGTTAATCTGCTTGTCCCGCCTCCATATTTGAAGCCTTTAAAGATCCAATGAACTGCAAAGATAATCATGATTTTTAAGTAATTGAAAAACGAGGGAAGAATAAGCAGCAAATTATCAGCGACTCAAGGATTAATATGCATTTATATATATTTTTTTGTTTTCCTTGAGGTCGTCTTCAGCTTAAAACAGTGTTTTATTATTGCAGTTCAGCTCTGATAGAAACACAGGACAGCGTGGGCAACGCTGCATTAGAAACTCATTGAGATGTAAATTTCTTTAACACATTTCCTTTATGTCAGTCATTGTGAACATGGAGGAGAAAAAACTGTTACATCTGCAAAGTTCTGGATGCTGCTGCTGGGTATTTATGAACTGTCATCATGATTAACACTTTTCCCATCATATTTCTGAGAGTTGAAAAAAAAAAAATCTTTACCTTCACATTATAAAGCACAAAACTATTTGGAAACTAAGGGTCCTGTCACACCTTGCTGATTTATCCAGCCTCTGCCCGACATCCCAGGATCTCCTAGAACGCTGGCAGACGCTGAACTTTCTATGGATTTTTTCAAGTTGGGGCGTATACAGAGTTTTCATAACGAGTCCACAACTTCTGTCCAATGACAGCCTAACTTATGCATAACACACGGCAGCGTAATGCCCATGAAATGATGCACAACTGACTTTACTTTGTTATGTTTTTTTTTTTACTTTTTTGGGACAAAACCTTTGCAGTTTAACGGATGCAGAGTTTTGCATTAATTTCTATTTGAACGGCTTGTATCATTGATTTTCCACATCACAGTTCAATTTGATCAATTTACTCTAAAACATTGTAGTTTTTATTTCCTGGCCGAGTGTAAGCGGGTTTTAAAAGCAACAACAAAAAAAGTTATTTTCACTTTATTGACAACAGACAACTTTAACGAAAGCTGGAACTGGATCTGTGGTCCTTCAACACGATCTGGTCAAAATAAAAACCTGCCAGCTATTGCATATTTCTGCAAATAAAGATTACTTCACTAATCAATTATACTGTTGACGATTTATTTCTTGCAAATATATCATCAGTCTGATGGTCAAAATTGTTTATTCATTTTGCAACCAGAAAAAGCATAAATTATTAAACTTAAGAACGTCTTGATTGAGCATAATTTAAGAAAAAACATAAATTTTTTTATCTTAAAATAAATGGTGTATATTATTTGCACATTTTTAGCATAATTACCACTCTTAATGGGTTGTTCTCCAAGTTTTAGAGTTGGTGTCTACGCTCTAAAACTCAGGGAATTAAGGTATCATCAATAATCTAATGTTAATTACACAGTTAATTGTTTGAATCTTAATCTAAAACTGAAAAAGTTACAAATGTCAGGACCTGAGTTTTAAATAATTTAGCAGTCTTTGAGCATTACAAGAGCTGCAGATGATAAAACAGTTGGTGCCAGTCAGTCCAGATGCTGTTTACCTCCCTAAATATACAAAGCCAGGTTCAGCGTTGAGATTTAAAATCGAATAAAACTGATAACGCTGTAAATTAAGCAGGTAGTTATTAATATGTAGAGTAGAAAAGAGCATAAATCTATGTGTGGAACCATGTCTCTGCCACCTGAAGCCAAGATGTTCATGGTAGATGCCTAATATTGTGTAATCCTGAAGGTTGAGGTCTAAATAGAACTGATTTCTGTCTCCCAACACAAGTCAAGATCTGAACACCCCACTATAGATTCAGTTTTTGCAGGTGTTATGATCAGTTAGGTAAACATTATAATTTGGCCCTTGTCCAACTCACTTTGACGACATTATTCTCACTTTCTGCCAAATATGTCTGCTAAATAACTGCTGGCATGACAAAGAGCGGCTAGGTGCTATTATCTGCATATATAGTGTAAATTTTACATCGTTTTGTTGGTTTCTTCTTTTGCAGATTGCCTGTGGATCTGAGCACAATCTTGCTATCGTAGGTGAGTGTTTTCTCATTAAAAAAGGTCATGCTACGGTGGCCCTGAAGTGCAAACTGCAACTACAAATCTAAAAGCACAAATACATTAAGGAAATCGCAACTACATAAAGCAAAGCGCAACTACATTAAGGAAATCGCAACTACATAAAACAAAGAGCAACTACATTAAGGAAATCGCAACTACATAAAGCAAAGCGCAACTACATTGAGGAAATCGCAACTACATTAAGGAAATCGCAACTACATAAAGCAAAGCGCAACTACATTAAGGAAATCGCAACTACATAAAGCAAAGCGCAACTACATTAAGGAAATCGCAACTACATTAAGGAAATCGCAACTACATAAAGCAAAACGCAACTACATTAAGGAAATCGCAACTACATAAAACAAAGCGCAACTACATTAAGGAAATCGCAACTACATAAAACAAAGAGCAACTACATTAAGGAAATCGCAACTACATAAAGCAAAGCGCAACTACATTGAGGAAATCGCAACTACATTAAGGAAATCGCAACTACATAAAGCAAAGCGCAACTACATTAAGGAAATCGCAACTACATAAAGCAAAGCGCAACTACATTAAGGAAATCGCAAATACATTAAGGAAATCGCAACTACATAAAGCAAAACGCAACTACATTAAGGAAATCGCAACTACATAAAACAAAGCGCAACTACATTAAGGAAATCGCAACTACATAAAGCAAAGCGCAACTACATTAAGGAAATCGCAACTACATAAAGCAAAGCGCAACTACATTAAGGAAAACACAATTACATTAACCTACTGGAAAAGGTAGGTACCAGTGGGAAACATGAGACATCCCTGATTGGACGACGGCGCCGTTTGACCCTTGAACCGGAAGTTGCGTCGTCTGAACAGTCCAGCTTCTTTTAAGTGTGTCTTCAGTGTACGCAAACTAACTGAAATTTCGTGATTAGTCTTGAGCATATCCAGTATAACCTTGTACGTATGTCCTGATTCAAAATGTTCCTGGATAACGGCAGCTATGTTTGGGGCGCCGACAATATCCATGTTTTCAAAAGCCGCAGCAGGCAGAATGACTTCCGGTTCAAGGGTCAAACGGCGCCGTCGTCCAATCAGCGATGTCTCATGTTTCCCACTGGTACCTACCTTTTCCGGTAGGTTAATGTACTTGCGATTTCCTTAATGTAGTAGAGCTTTGCTTTATGTAGTTGTGCTTTGCTTAATGTAGTTGCGCTTTTAGATTTGTAGTTGCAGTTTGCACTTCAGGGCCACCGTATCATTCTCTTTTCTGATTGTTTTATTTTGTAAAACACTTTCCACAACTTTGCTTGAAATATTAATGGAGAAACTTTATTGTCGCAACATCTAAGCAGTAAAGGAGTCTGTAGCGGCTAAAAACGTACATTTTAGCTACTCGTTGCTTTCTCCCCTTGTAGGCTTTGGCCTTTTAATGTGCTCAATCAAGAATATTCAGCTCTTCATTGGAGATATGATTAAAGCCATTTATTTTCCTGGGTCCATTGCATTTTCATTTCCATTCAGAAAAAATAAACCAACATAACTTCTAACAAAGTACAATAGAAATGCTTTTGCCTGTTCTCATTTATCAACACCTTAACGTGAATGACACTTGACCTTAAATAACCTCATCCCCCTTTCAACATAATCAAAGCACAAAAGGAAATGCACCCCCTGGTGGACATAAATACAGAAAAAAAGGATAAATGGCTCCTTCCAGAGACCTGCTGCTTTCCATTTTGATAGCAGATGTCTGAAAGATCCCCCTGAGGTTTTTCTCATTTGATGCAATATTTGAACCAAATTAGCCGTGTTTAAATTGCATCTCTTTCAGCAAAATAACTTTCAGGAAGCCTATAGCTACACTGAACTGACTTTTGTTTCATGCCAATTCATATATTCATGCTAATAAATATATAAATACATTTTACCGCAGTTAAAAAGGTTCCTTTTTATAAAAATTTATAATAACTTCAAACTTCGTTAATAGGAGATCCTATAGATGTCGTAATGCTGCTGAACCTGGAGCCATAATTTCATCGACCTACTTGCCTGTCTCATCATACTCATTTATATCAACAATTTAGTTTTCATTCAGTTCTAAATCCAAGTTATATTCTTTTTTTATCTTGGTAAGAAGCAAATGATTTGCTGCATAGTCGCCTCCTCCTCTGCGTCATACATCACAGAGAAATATTTTTTCACTGAACCTTTCCTCTGTCACATCAGGAGAAATAAGAATTGTAAATGTTCAAATGTTTTTCACAGTAAGTATCTTTCTAATTACTGAGATGAAATCTACAGCGAATGTCGGCAATAATTGAAGAAATGCATGCATGGAAATCAAAACCATTAAGTCCAAAGACGCATGGAGCGCCTGCAGAGAGGAAGCAGAAGAAGTCACTAAAGTCCTTCCATAGCTGGAAAGCAAACCTGCCCCAGTCAGACCTGACTGAACCACCTCCTGATGTATTAGTTTAGTTAAACTATTTCGTTACAGACCTATAAACTTCTTATACATGTTCAAGTCAGGAGATCCAGGGCCGTAATCCAGAGCTTTAACATCTTGCACATGTAAACCATCCATAATAAGATGGTACCAGCAAGCCAGAAGAATAATTACATGAAGATGCTTTTAGAATGTAATTATAAAATAAGGTGGATGTTTCAGTGAGACCAAAAAAACCCAGTCAAGAAGAATATCCACTCTAAAGTAAAAGACTAGACTTAATTATAATGAAATATCTTTATAAAGAGCAAAGGATCAACATCATGAAAGATATGGAGGATAAAAAGTGCCAAAATTAAATAAATAAATACAGCATTAAATAAATAATTAAATGTGTCAATAATTAATTAAATGTGGAATTAAATAAATAAATGTGTCATTCATTAATTAAAACCACGTCACTTATATAAAGGGCCACAATTAAATAAATAATATGAATTAAATGTGTAATTCATTAAATAAATAAGGAATTAAATATATAAATGTGTAATTAATTTAATAAAATACGTCTTCATTTTATTAAAAAAATATATATAATTATTTCAGTGTGCATTTAATTATTTCATGGTCCTGTGTCGCCGTGCATTGAAACCATTAAAAGAATCTGTCAAACTCACCCATCAAAGTTAGGGGGCGGTTATCTAACACCTGATTGGTCACCCTGCACATTAAGGCGAAGCAAATCGATTACAGAGACTGTGATCCACAGGTTGTGAACATACTCTGATACAGTAGGTGGCGACTCGATTCGTGTTAACTCCGCCCCCTAACTTTGATGGGTGAATGCACACTGAAATAATTATATATATTTTTTTAATAAAATGAAGACGTATTTTATTAAATTAATGACACATTTATATATTTAATTCCTTATTTATCTAATGAATTACACATTTAATTAATTGTTTATCGCTGTATTTATTTATTTAAATGTGGCACTTTATATTAGTGACGTGGTTTTAATTAATGAATGACACATTTATTTATTTAATTCCACATTTAATTAATTATTGACACATTTAATTATTTATTTAATGCTGTATTTATTTATTTAATTTTGGCACTTTTTATCCTCCATAGAAAGAATGCAGGAGCTTAAAAAGTTGAAAACAGTTTTTTTTTTTTTTTTTAACAGTTGGACATAATAAAACATAATAAAAGTATTGAATGAATTTTAGTTGACGTCTTCAGCGCTTACACCCAGCTCTTTTCTTCATTTATGGACTTTTTGTTTGAATTTCTCTGTTAATGTCGATTTCTTGGGATGTTTGCAACGTCTTTTAGAAAATCCTTCACATGTCAAACTCTATTTTTATTATCTGCATCTCATCAGGGACCCTCTTTTTTCTTTGTGTGTCCCAGCTAGTGAGTTCTCTCACAGACACTGTGAAGATCAGAATGATTTGTTGCCTCTGTAAATACCATTTTAAGTCTGAATGACTGAAAGCCAACACTTTACTAGATTTGCGAAGCCATTAATGTTACGTATCTCATGTCAGAAAAGAGCTTTATTGGGTTCTGTGGGTGAAACATGAGACGTCTCTGCTGAACTGACATGACTACATAAAGGGTAATGTGGACACAAATGAGAGCAGAACCTTTTTCAGACATTCCTACCTATTATAGTAAAAAAAAAGAAAAAACAGTAAGTCCTATCTAATACAGTAGAGTCAAACAGCAGTGTGAAAAATGAATCCTGGCGAAGCAGCTGGGATTTTTTTGCGGTCAGCTCTTTGCTTTATGGCCTTTCATCAAGAAGTAATTACAGCATAGACAGATGATATCAGTGACAGAGGCAGTTAGCCAAACAAGCCTAACAGGAGCTATATTAACCACACACACATTAACAGGTAAATTATATGAGAGCAATTTCCTTTAGTCTACATATGTGAATGTAAACAATCACAAACCTCCTCCTGTAGTTAGTCCTTTAAAATGAAGCATTGATGTCCAAGTGAAGCATTTACTTTCATTTGAAAAGAGGTTTTTGGACCAACAATCCGCCGTCCAGGTGTTTTTCTCTTTAAAGGAAAAGTCCAGTCAGCGAGGAATAATCAATGGATCGTTATTTATACCTAAAACTAACACATTAGTGGTGATTTAATGAATTTAGCATTAGCCAGTAAAAAAATACTGAATCTGGGAGCGGCCATTTTTGCCCAAATATAGTAACCCCTCCCTCCTGCCATCTTCCGGCAGTGACGTCACGGTGCGGTAAGCCTAGCGCCATTCTCCTAACCTGACTCCGCCAGATGGATTTGCTCCGCATATCCATCTGGAAACCTTCCGTTTAAGTAATTTTGGGAAGGGGCGAAAATACTGGTTAGCTGATTGGCCTATGTTGGTGATAGACGGGCCAAATAAACCAATCAGATCAACGAAGCATATGACGTACTAACAGAGCGACGACAAAAACACAACCACAAGCCAGGCTACTCTTGCTGAAACCAGTCGGGAGAAGAGCAAAAACATCTTTTCCTCTGAGAAAAGCCTCCAGAGCAGTGTTTTGCTCTTCTTTCAGTGAAGAAATACTCTGTAATTCCCATAAAACTTGCTCGATAGCCACGCTAACGCTAGTTTCATCGGCTGAAGCCGCCATGTTCTTTAGACTGAACTGTCGCGCTTCTCGTTGCGTCACACCTCAACCCGCCGCAAAGCCAACGCTGATTGGACGTTCGTTTGGTGAACGGCTCCAAATTTTCTTTAACGGAGAGTAGGGTTGTCACGATACTAAACTTTTCAACTCGATACCGATACTAAGGAAAATATTCGATACTCGATACCATTTTCGATACCACAAGGATAAAAACAAAGACTCCAAAATTCAACAGAAGTATTTTCATTAATAAATAAAATACAATAAATAAACACAATAAAGGTTGTATGCTGTGCATAATATTATGCAAGCTTGATAAAAAACTTATAAAATTAAAATGAAGTGTTCCTTCCTTGGCTATGCTTTGCACACATAACAATGACACTAGCCAAACCGGTTAAGAAACAAAAATTATTCTCAGCAGCTGCACCTGTTACAGAAAAAAGTCTATTCTGCACTTTAGATGAATGACTGCTTAGGTGCCACTGGTGGTGGCACTTTTAAAAACGAGTATTGTATCCGGATACAACATTTCAGTATCGATACTTTTTTGAGTTTCGATACTTTTGACAACCCTAACGGAGAGTCTCCAGACTGATTAGCGAGTGAAATCTTGAAAGCTTGCGAGATCAGGATGGTCTCACCAGGCTACAATTCTCCCAGCTTTCCAAGCTAAATCAATGGGAACTACTAGACACATCTGCAATCAACAACAATTATTGAAGATTTCCAGAGGACTTCACCATTGAAATTCACCAGAGCTATAGTGAAACTGACAATGCCCACGTGCATGGCAGCTGGATGCTGGAATACATCGGGTAAAAGTGAAAAAAGAGTTATTCCACCTTTCTGATTCCTGATCCTCCACGGACGGGTTGGTCGTTGGATCGCCAACTTGAAGAGGGAGGATTTGCCATCGAACTTCTGGCCAGAGAAAAAACCCGTAATATGTAGCCAACATTTGGAAGAAGAATGTTTTCAAGATGACTTGGATAATAGCGCGTTGTGACAAACACCAGATACAGCACTGGGACTTGATCAACAGCCGATACCGCACCGTGACGTCACTAACCAGTAGGTGGCAGTAGTGTTCTTTGACAAACATGGATGCCTCCAGTAAAGCACATTCACATGAAAATGACTCTGAATTAAAAACACTTATTTATTGAACAGGATGGAATCATTTCACATTTAAAGAACTTTCAGAAGTTTGTAATTTGGATGTGACAGACTTTTGAGGACTGACTTATGAGAAGAAATGCGACGGATGTAATCCATGTCCTGGATACGGCTCTGAGTGTGAGGCTTCTGAAGCTCTGACTGCGGTTTCAGTCTTTAACTTGTGAATCTTCCCCAAACTCTTGGATAGACTTGGCTTGGCCGTCCTCATAAGACTGATAACGCTTATCTTTTTTCCTTGTGCTCCAATCTTTCCTTCCATCAAACAATGACTCCACATGGAAACGGCGCAGCCAGCTTTTTTATTGATGGCTCTTTATGGCGTTTCACTGTCTGTTGGATATCAATTAAATATCATCTGATTGTCTCTAATATTACGTAACATAAATCTTTCAAAACTCCCTTTTTTTTAACCAAAGTTATGTTCAATTTTGTCTTAGAAACAGCCTTTTCTTTCACATTAAGCTGTAATCAACCTTAGCAGAAATAAATGGCTGAAACATATTGCTGCACGTAATTAATCAATAGATAATGAATAGATCTGATTTTTTTGGATTCTAATTCCTTTTGGTAAACAACTTTTCCAATGATGCTTTGATTTATTTGGAATGCCACTGTTTTCCACATGCTTCAAAAATCTCTCCTACTTTTCAAAGCATCCAGCAAGTAATAAAAAATGTCTTTGCTGCAAAATCATTCAGATTAAATTTTTAACACTGACCTCTTTTTTTTTTTGTTTTTTAACATCCGCATGAATAAAAATATCACAGAGGATCACAGACATATAGGGGAGTGGTGGTCTATCAGTTAGGGCATAGAGCTTGGAATCCAGAGGTTCTGAGTTCGAGCCCCACTCCCACAGATTGCCACTGTGGGTCCCTGAGCAAGACCCTTAATCCCCCACTGCTCCCCAAGGGGAGGGGTTAAATGCAGAGAATGATTTTCATTGCTCTGTACTTGTGACGATGTAATATGCGGCGCCGCTAAATATATATTTAACAAACTAAATATGTAATTTGCAAACTAAATATTTAGCTCCAAACTGAATATCTAGATTTTTATAAATTAATGAATGACATAATAATAAAAATATAACCCCCTTATTTTTCTCTTAAAACATGCTAATTAACCATAAATATTGCTCCTAAATTTTGACTGCTTCCCTTTACAAACGGCGCCAAATATTGTAACGACAATAAGAAGAAATGCGACTACAAGGTTCCTTTACAGAGAAGACCTGCAAACGGTTGGTGTTGCTGCAAGCCTCCAAGTAACCAGCTGTCAGTGTAAAAAATAAAATAAGTATTAACAACCTATAGAGCGCATTATGAGCGTCCATGATGTGAGAAAGTTCTGCTCTGTACTGGATGAAGTTCAGCGTGGCGTGTAGAGCGGAGGTCTTCAACAGGGCGTCCGTGACGCCTAGGGGTCCACAGAGGTACTGAAAGTTTTGTTTGATTAGACTTTTTTTTTTTTTTTTTATATTCCTTCTTTCCTGTTAAATCCAGATTAACATGAATCCAACAGACTGTAGTAAACAGATAAATGGAGGCAGAAGATGTCTTTCAGTCATCAATGCTCACATTCAGCGACACACAGGAGCTCTTTCAAGCTGGGCACCGTTTCATTCACAACACCTGTCCCATCAACCAGGAATCTGAAATACTTTAATAATTACTTTAGTTACATTACTCCATCTGTACTAGAGTGACTATAGGACCAGTTTAATTTCATACTATATATAATTAGGGGTTCCATCTCGCCATCAGTTTGGGGTCCTTGTCCTGGAAAACATTGAAGACCCCTGGTGTAGAGGAAGGGCTCGTGTTTTTCCCTGATTCTTCTTGATCTGCTCGTTTTTAAATTCCTCCTCCTGTCTTCAGCTTGGTGGCAGAAGCAGCGAAATAGCAAAACAAGATTGGAAGCACAGACCTGAGTGCTGCTATTTCTGGTGCTGAAGTAGGTCAGGCGGAAGAGAATAGAGAGCATTGCACGCTGTTTATATCTGTTGCCTGCTCAAGCTCGTGCCCATTTGCACCTGAGCGAGAGGCGGTCAATAGTGAAACTGGCCGTCGTTGGTCAGAGGTTGGCGACAGGCCAAAGTCTCTGTGGGCACAGCTCATCCAATCTGAGGAAAAATGTCATTATGATTATCTCAATTTACCACAACTACAAACATCTTAGGTTCCATCTTATGTGCTTTAATCTTTTTAAAGTCATGCATGTTTGGCTGTAAAAGGTCCAGCCGTGGTGCTGTGTCACTCTTTTTATTTTAATAGTAAAAAAATAATTCCCATTTGCCAGATTTCTTCACTTGGAAGTGGCTCATGTTTTGGGTTTCTTTTATATTTGTTATCCGTACGATGCACAGAATACTGTTCAGACCCTTTGTTGCCATGGAAACACTGATGTGCTGTCCAATCGCCAGTGAGTTCATGAATTAAGCTCCAAAATGAGGCTTTCTCTTCCTCAGTGTGACACTTCAACACATGAAGTCGTTTTCAATGAACATGGTAACTATAGAGCATGCCAAACAAACAGTTTGCTTCCATGCACCGTCTCCACATTTTATAGACTGTCACACAGACAGAAGCTGCTGCTGCTGCAACATCCTGGTCTGCTAACAGCTCAAAGCATATGCGCCTGTTAGGAAAATCAGGTTTTGAAGAGACGAAGACAAAGACACGGCGAGATCAGCTGACGGTACAGATGGTAGACACGGCATAAGAGGCGCACACACAGACCGCAGCGGACGGCAAGCACACCAAGACGCGCTACCCTCCAGAAAGCAAGCTGGCTTCTGTTGTCATGACAACGGACCCTATTAGGTAACCGTGTTGCCATGGCACGTGTCTGCTCGGTGATGCGGACCTGACCACACCCACTGACAAGCTCTCCAGCTGTGAAGAGCGAGGCAGGTTTTTATTCCTTGCTGAGTGTTTGGAGATCAGAGAAGCTCTGATCTGTTTCTCCCTTTATTTATTTTATTAATGTGTGTGTTATTCCCTGTAGGTGTCTTATTTCAGCCTTTTCACCTCTGCATTCTGCTTCCACTAACCACAGACCGCTGTCCTGTGTTTTTTACAGGGGGGCGCCTCCTGTCGTGGGGCTGGAATGAGCATGGGATGTGTGGGGACGGTTCGCAGGCTGACGTCTTTCATCCTCGCCTCGTTTCTGATCTCAGGCCTGTTGTGATTGGCTGCGGAGCTGGACATTCAATGGCACTGTGTGTGTGGGGGGGGCAGCAAGTTTAAGACAGAACACTGACTCCACTTGAGAAGCACTGGAGCACAGAAAAAGTTCCCCTTCACTGCACAACAGCTTTCTGTTTTTTTAGAGGTCGTATTTCAAACTGAAACTTCATCAGTGCTGTGATTGAACACAGTTATGTGCTGTTTGAAAGAGGTGGACCTCATTGCAGAAAATGGTATTTCCCATCTTAGTCTGTCATGTTGAAGGTGAAGAAAATGTACTGTTGTGGTGCTAAAACATGTTAGTGGTTCTATCACTGGGATCCTGCTCTAGTGTTTCATTGATATCTGAGCAATTCCTAAATAAAAATAACAACCATAAGCCATCTAAAACGTTTTCTCAATTTTAAGCCTTAAGAAATAGAAATCAAGCATCTTGATTTAGTTGCATCTTGAATGTCATATATTGTTACAGTTTTGGCTGAGATTTGGCTCCCTTTGAGAAAACCACAGGGGTTTGGACATTCATCCAAAGCTAGTTACTGAGGACTGACGTCCTGCAGGTTTCTTGTGCATGACATCTGGTAATATAAATGATTTTACTCAAAACTATCAACCACTTTTCAACTCATCAACATATTAGCTGAGGGATTGTCTTCCAAAAAACAGAAGAAAACACCAATAATGTATATTATTATTCTGATTTTACGCCTTGCAAAGATTAACATGGATAAAGGCGAAGGACTCGCATAAAAAAGCTACAAAAACTTTATCAAACTTAGTTACCTAAGTCAATAAATATTAAAAACATAAACCAACATTATGTAGTTAGACAATAGTTTTGAATCCAGGAGAAAATGAAAGAATTAGCAGATCATCTACCAAACATAGATACATTTGTCAATTTCAGTCCCTTGCTGATTGTTTGTTTGATCCAGAAACCTAATCGTAACATATCAAGGTATCAGTGCCTTAAGGTTTGTTTTTTCTTCACCATTGGTCTCTTTTTCAGTCATGTTAGTTTCGAAATGGATTTTTAGTCGTCCACGTATTTATTAGCATTAGCAGAGATTAATATTATAATCTTGTTTTTAACCACAGCTGATTTGAGAAGATGAATAAATCAACACTCACTGGAAACTGATTATTTCTGTTTTTTTATTTATCACTATTTGTGTACAAGTCTGACCTGCATTAGTCAAAATACACACAAAACAAAAAACCCTAAACTACAAACCGATAGAAACGACCACCGAACACCTCACTGAGATAAGTAGCCACAAAATGCATGGTGTTCAAAACACACATTGTAACGTCTCACTAAGTAGCACACTTTAATGGCCTCATTGTTGACTGTCTTCACAGTTAACATTTCTCTGTCTTTATTTTGTTTTTATTTCGTTTTTTCGGTTGTTGATCATTGACAAACCAGCTGTGCCCCTGTTGGTGCTTAGCCAGCCTGCCTGCCTGCAGCTGGCCTGCCTGCAGCCGGCCTACCTGCAGCCAGCCTGCCTGCAGCCTGCTTGCAGCCAGACAGCCTGCAGCCAGCCTGCTTGCAGCCTGCCTGCCTGCAGCCTGCCTGCAGCCAGCCTGCTTGCAGCCAGCCTGCCTGCAGCCTGCCTGCTTGCAGCCAGCCTGCCTGCAGCCTACCTGCCTGCAGCCTGCTTGCAGCCAGCCAGAAGCCAGCCTTTCTGCAGCCTGCTCTCTCTGCCAGATTCAACTGACTGCACGCAGATCTTAAGAGGTTGTTGGCAGTGTGTTTGCAGTTGTTTGGTAAAAAGTTGGTACCTTTTCTCAAACTTTTCCACACAAACAGTGAATCTGTCCTTTGCGCTCAAATGGTGTTCCTTTTGAGTTAGTTTTAAGAGGCAGGCCAATTGCTCGACCTTAAAGGCTGGTCCACATGAGGGTCCTTATTGCGTGTGTAATTCTGAGCACTAAACCTGTGCTTTTTTAAATGGCTGGTGACTGACAGAAAATTGTAAATAAAAAATTGTACAATAGGTAATCTTGCACTGTTGTTCCCTAAATGAGAAGAAGATTGTGCATATTAGAGGCACTTGTCCAGTTTGATAACAGTTTGGCCTTGTCAGTGTTACATAACTGTATGCACATATGAGTATCTGAAATGATAATAATAATAATTCTACATGATTGTCAATTAAATCACAGCTGCACTACACAACACTAACACAATGGTATAGTTGTAGAACCTATGCAGTGCCTTTAGAAGGTGTTTGCATTCTTTAAACTTCTCATTACAACCACAGACTTTCTTCTTAGATGAGTTTAATAGAATAATAAAAATTAATCACCTAATTAGGAAGTTAAATTAGTTTGCGCCTTTTTTATCAGAGGCGTCAAGTAACAAAGTACAGATACTTTGTTAGCTTCAGTAGAAATGTTCTATAATTTACTGGAGTAATTATTTTTTAGAAAACTTTTATTTCAACTCCTTAAATTTTAAAAATAGACTCGTTAGTTTTTTTTTTCCAATTAAGCTAATTTTAATTATGGCCTGTTGGTATTTAAATAAAAAAAAACATCAAAATAATTAGTTTCATCCAGACAATTCATTTCTTTGTGGTTGGACTCGGTGCTGCCCCAACTTGTTGATCAGCACAAACCAAAATAAATAGTTTTTCTAGAAGATGCAAAGTTAAATGTGACTCTGTTACCATTAGTTATAAAACAAAGAAAATAAACTCTAAGGAAGTTATCATCCAGAATTGTAGAAAAATTTTCCTTTAATAGAGTAAAGCTTCTGTCCTCAACATTTTTTCCTGCATTATTTTTACTTTTATACTTTAAGTAATTTTTAAAATGGTACTTTTACACTTTTACTGGAGAAAAAAAGCTGAGGTTGATCCTCTAACTTCTACAAAAGTAAAAAAAAAAAGATTTATACTTCAACTGGAGAAATAAACATTAATACTTTTAATACCTCTGCTTTTTTTTTTACGTATTTTACAAATAAATAAATAATGATGTTAAGTTATATTCCCTTTCTCTGTTACGTAAAGTATAAGTTCTTAAGAAGTAATGTTTGTTTTGACGGTGTTCTGTCAGTCAATACCTGTTAATCCTTTTTAGTTTATCGCTTTAGTTGTGTACAAAAAATACACTGTAAACTACCACAATGGCCATCTGTCCCTTTAATCAGACAAAAAAAAGCTATTTAATTACTTACTTTTTGGTTGTTAATTTTTTTAAGCGTATGGCGATCTGGCCTTAAATTGATTTTTTTTTGTACATGACTAAAGGGATAGACGCCCGTTGAGGTAGTTTAAAGTTAACCTGACTCCGCCAGATGGATTTGCTCCTCATATCCATCTGGAAACCTTCCGTTGAAGTAATTTTGGGGAGGGGCAAAAATACTGGTTAGCTGATTGGCCTATGTTGGTGATAGATGGGCCAAATAAACCAATCAGATCAACGAAGCATATGACGTACTAACAGAGCGACGACGAAGAGGAGCCAATTGATAGATCAAACTCTTGCCGAAACCAGTCGGGAGAAGAGCAAAAACATCTTTTCCTCTGAGAAAAGCCTCCAGAGCAGTGTTTTGCTCTTCTTCCAGTGAAGAAATACTCTGTAATTCCCATAAAACTTGCTCGATAGCCACGCTAACGCTAGTTTCATCGGCTGAAGCCGCCATGTTCTTTAGACTGAACTGTCGTGCTTCTCGTTGCGTCACACCTCAACCAGCCTCAAAGCCAACGCTGATTGGACGTTCGTTTGGTGAACGGCTCCAAATTTTCTTTAACGGAGAGTCTCCAGACTGATCTGCGAGTGAAACCTTGAAAGCTCGCGAGATCAGGATGGTCTCACGAGACTAGTTTAAAGTCTATTTTTCCTAGAAAACTAAAGGCGTAGACGGGGATAAACTAAAGGGATGAATGGGACTAGCATACACGTATGCAACTCTGACGTCTTGCACATGCGTATTGACTATGGGTATGCTGGTCTGACTGGGTATGCTGGTCTGACAGAATAACGGCAGCATACATAACGGTGTCCTTTTAAGGCCTAAGAGGCTTTTTTATTTTCTTTTAAACAAACATTAATCTGAATTTCAAGGAACCTTCAGAAAGCGGGTCAGTTTGGATGATTTGTTGAGATCCGCTTCACAGGTGAAAAACTGTCTTGATAGATTAACTATTAAGTGGCTTATAGAAAGTAAACTATTTGCTAGTTTACTATTTTGTAGTTTTCCATGTAGGGGTTTAGTCTATGAAAATTTCTCTATGTCTGATTTGATTTTTATAGTAGTAATGATAATGTTAAATCATCACTGGTACATGATTGATTAAAATAGTTCAAAAAAGGCAGTTGAATCATATAGTTTTTATATTTTGTGGTATTGTAAAGTATAATATTTTTCATTTTGCGTTGAAGACATTGCTGTGCAAAAATACCACAGGAAATCCACCTAAACACATCATCCTCACCATGAAAGAGCGGTGCTTATTATTATGGTCTTCCTCCTGATTTAAACTCGATGCATTTAACTGCCTGGTATGTTTTCAACAGTTTGAACAGGATGCAAACGTTTCCAAGGCACTGCATAAAGGTTTTGTTTGTCCTTAAAAGTACAACTACATCTACAGTCGTTCCAAAAAAGTAAAAAAAAAAAAATCCAGTGGACTTTGTTTCAGAGTTTAAAGACGTTTTGAGAGCGGCGTGAAGGAAGCCATCTATGTTAAGAAAGAAAAATCAACCTTAAACAGCGATAGAGTTGATTCTTTCCCACTATCATTGCAGCCCCACCCCTTTAAGGCTGATTTATACTCAGAAACCAGGTGGTCTGCTTGTGTCACAGATAGGAGGCCTCTGATTGGTCAAATCTACATCCACTCTACACTATGACACGGGAGTGGATTTTCACTCCTGTCCCGTCCCACTCCCACAGAAAAAAATGGTGTCCCGTCCCGATCCCAGGCCAGAGCAGAAATCTAAATCCTGTCCCGTCCCACTCCTGGTGAAAATACTCCCGCTCCCATTCAGAATGACTCCCGCTCCTGCTTCACTCCCATTCTTGTTGTCTTCAATAAGATTTCACTTTTTTCAAACTTTTCGAAGTCGAGTTCGCCGCTAACTGTTGGTCCCTCCATGGTTGTTTTTGAGCGCGGGTGAAAAACTCAGAGCGGAAGCACTGTTGGTTTTTGGGTCGTGTAGTATTTTTGACTGGCATTATAGTGTAGGCTTCAAGGAAAAAAAACTACAAAATGGCGGCGCCAGTACTGGATTTTTTTTTCTTTCTATTTTATTTTATTTTTTGGCATCGATCCTAGTATTTTTTTGGTTACTATTGGTTTGCTCCCGCTCCCGTCTGCTCCCGTTAATGTTTAATCCTGTACCGTCCCGATCACGTGATCGTTACTAATACTGACTCCCATCCTATGGGAATCCCACGGGAATCCTGTGACCCGTGGGATTCCCGAAAAAATGTCAGTCTCTAATGCGTATTTCATGTTTGGTACCTTGCTGGTTTGTTTTGTTTGTCTGACCGCCATTGTGGAAAAAAACTGGTGAAGATGGAGCAGATAGAAGAGCGAGGTGCGCAAGAACGCCGGGACCCTTTTTCCACCTGGATCCCCGCTCTTTTTGGCCCTCATGTCGCTCAAACTTGCCCCCACTTCCTCACCGCCTCGGCCGTATCTAGACCCCCAGCTAGTTCCTGATTGGCCCTCTGACGTTGTGGCGTGACCACGCTTCAATATTGGACATACTTCAAAAATATCTGCGACAAGCTAACTGAGAAACACTGCTGGGGGAGGATAACCAGGCCTTTACAGGGGAACAGAAGAGCTTGCCTATTCAGCCAAGCCAACAATTCCCTCTAACGACCCCCTTTCAGAGACATAGACAGGTATGGGGCATTGCAGGCTAACAAAGAAGCCAAACGACCCCCATTCCAAAGGGGGGGACCCGTTCATCCGTTTCTATTTGCATGTTTTCTAAACTAAAACCAGGCTTTGTTGGGCTGCTGGATAAAACCTGGAACTAAACGCTATTTCTGACATTTGGAATTGAAGAAGCTTCCTGGATGGAAGAGAAACGTCTTCAAACTTGGAAACAAAGTCCAGTGGATTGTTTTTAACTCTTTTGGAATGACTCTGACCTGGATGACCTAGAAT